ACGAGTAAACAGGTCATCTACTTTCAAGGTTGTTTCTGCTTTTGTAACTTTTATTATCAAGTTCATCATGTTGCAGTTTTTATAACTGTAACCAAAGTTGTCAAAATTAGATTGTTTATTTTTTGGAAGATTTAGATGACCCGATTTGAAACAAATATATGATCAGAAGACACCCAAGACACATAAGTACACATACAACAGGAGCCTTTCTAAACCTAAACTGGCTTACGACTCTCAGTAGAACAACTGTGGACTACTGGGCATTGCCATCCGAAGAACCATCACCTGTCTGAAGTCACTGTGGAGATGGAGGAACACTTCTTCACAATCTTCAACACTAAAGCCACGAAATAGATTATAAAGAAAATCAGAACTCTTTATACTACCACTTACCCGAAGGTTTAACCTGGCGAGGAGTATTCAGAACTTAAACGTTCATTAATTCTGGCTGTTGTACAAGTGCTTTTAACCAACTAATATTTAACGAATAGTCCTGTTTATTAAAGATTTACTTTATGCCTTGATTTCCTGTTAATTTGGTTTCAAACTATACTTCTAATCGGCATTAAAAACTCTTTTGAACCGATATAGCTATCAAAAAGGCCGACATGTCTTTGGAAACCAATAAGGAGTCAGTTTGTAATAGAACCTATTTCCATTTAACGACGCGACATTTTTATTTTAGAATTTTGTTTTAATGTAATCATGAGCAAATGTCACGCGTTTTCTTACTCGTCTGGTGTTTAATGTTGTCTGGTGACATTGTTTTGTTCTTTACAACCAGCAGATTATTTTGAATAAGCAAGTCGAATCATTGGCGTCTCGCTAAAGCTCGAGGACGCCCGGAAGACTTTACCCCCACATTGTTGACCTTTTTAATGCCACAGTCAACAACAAAGTGACTACGGTATATTTTTCAGATATTAAAGCTTTATTATTTAAAAAAAAAATCTTAATTTTTATCCGATAACGACAAAGCTGTAATTGCTAAACTCAAAAACAAATGCTATATATCAAATTCTTATTTTTGTGTTTAGCCAATCACCATTGGTAATAAATAAACAGAAGAAAACAGAATGAAATTAATTTTTATTTGTTATTTAAATGAAATGAAACGTAAAAATACCCCGTCCTTTGTAGAAATAGAGAAACTTGCGCAAGCAAAAATTACAAAATAAATTTCCTTTATATTTTTGTTGTGTACTTATTATGTATTTTTACATTTCTATATATAAAAATAGACATGATTTGTCTTACCTGTACCATAGCGAGTTGTACTTTTAGTTGATGAACTTTGAATGCAAGTTTGTCAATATTGACCAATCCGTGTTGTTATTTGTACACGCATGGAGTAAAGGGTTAAAGTAAAGCTTGGGTGACCAGGCGTGATGATAATGTTGACAAACTCTACAAACTAATTTGTTTAAACCTTTTTCCTGATTAATTCGTGAGATTCGTTTATTATTCTGTATACGCATGGATTGGTGAAAGCTTGTGCCTATTTTGAAGGTGATATGGTAATTAAAGGAGGAAAAGGGGAATTAACCGATGAACAACGTTCTCCCATTAGTTTTGGTCCGCCCGATCTCGTCACGCGTCAGAATTGGCGAGAACGCATTAAGGAATTTTGTTAGAAAAATGACAAATGTTTTTTTTCATTAAAAATTTCCAAATCTCATTTGTCTCTAAGAAAGTGTAACTTTTTTTTCTAAACTTTAAAATATTTCTCTAATAAGCGTTTATTACACATAAACTAAAATGAATTTTCATTAGTATTCTCGACTATACTATTCTGAATAGAACCATAAATAGAGCTAGAACATTTTGATGACTTGGCAGACCTTTTGAACTCTGTGAACTTGCCCTCAGGTTACTCACACACGCTATAAAATCATAATTGAATCACGTAGTTCCTTTATTGTCAAACGTTTTATTCATGTCTAGAGCACGAATTCCGTGTGTTTCGTTAGTGTTTGGCTGATACCAATTTGTAATAAGAATAAGAAGCTCGCTTTACAACGTTAAAATAATTATATATTTTTTAAATTAAAAATTGTCTGAAGGGTGGATGTGGTATGGTGGAGCTCCAGACCATGTGTATCAATATTTGCCGCCCCACTAACGAATTATGGCGAATATGGATAATGTACATTATAAAATTTATTGAAATACTATTTTTCACTAGACAGAATGAACACATCAGGATGAAAAATTTGCCGCTCCACCAACGAATAATGACGAATCTGGTGGGCGAGGTAGTAAATCCCTTGGAAGTAATCTTGTTATTGATCATAAAGTTTAAGACAGTTTGAACTTCTTCCATTGAGATTTTTTTTCAATAATCTACAAAGTGACAGTTGTACGAAGAATATGGTGAAGGAGGTAGCAAGTCTAGGCAAATATTCTACCCACCGATTATGACGAATCTGGTGGATCCCTTGTTTCTACATTCCGTTATCGATCCATCATTTTTAAGAAACCGACAGCAGTGAACGCAGAGACTGGAAAATTCCTATACTCACTCTTTCCTAATCCTAGTGCAATGTCTGCCCAGATCTGCAGTTCTCCTTGTCGAGTATATCAATATTCTGATTGGCTGTTATCCGGACAGCAAATATCTCGAATGTTCTGGAAGACTAATCGAAGGAGAACAAACCATGGCAGGTGAATGAAGTATATCCTTCGAAAATGGTTTTCGGTATTAGATCGATAAGATCAAGAACGGTTGTACTTCTTGAAAAGAACATTTTAAAAGCTGTAGAAAGCTATTCTGTCCGATTTGTTAGACGAAGTAAGTACAGAGAGAGGCAATTTTTTCTACCCCGCATTCCTGAATCTCTATACTTCGTTCTTCGAATATGGTGGATGATGACACCTTACATAAAACTTTTTATATAAAGAAAATTTCCTTACATGCCATTTTTACTGCTTGCCTAGACCGAGTGTAGCGATTTGTGCCACTCTACCAACAAATTTTGACGAATCTGGAGATAGCATTCCTTTAGAAAAACATCTTGTTATCAATACATAAGTTTAAGAAAGAATGTCTGCACTTCCTCCACTGACAAGATTTTTTCAATGGTCCAGAAGGTACGATGAATATGGTGAAGGATGTAATTTAGGCCAATGCAGAAATTTTTGCCGCCCCACTAACGAGGTGGTGAGACAGGACGTCCGTTGTACAAAACATTGTGTTAACGATCGGAAAGTTCTCAAAAGACAGTTTTTTTCCAATCGCTAGATCATTAAATCGTTCGGAATGTGCTATTTCAATCCAATATTTTGGACGACGGAAATTGTGGACCAATTGCTGCAGGTTTTGCTTCCTCGTGGATTAGGTTGAATATCTATTGAAAATGTTTTTAGGGGTTATTCTTTATCGACCAACTTGGGTTGGACTCTCTGGTTTGAGATTATTATGTACGTGGCCCTTCAAATTAATCCAACACTGTATTATACAGGGCCAAGTTTTCTCTTGGCTTCACGTAGTTATTTTGTTATCGGCCAACTTGTACTATAATCTGCTATGTGATTATTGGGTGTGTGGTTCTTCAATCAATCAAACCCTGTTTTATATAATGTTGCCATGATTTGGGTTCTATATTTGGCAAATGTACAACACTTGTTGGATTAATTGAAGGACTATGTATCCAATAATATCAAACCTGTGTAAAATGGTTTTCGACTTTCCAGTCCATATGGTGGTCGAAGGTCCAGGCCGAGAGCAGCAACTGTGACCCTTTGAGGTGACAGTTGTACGGCGACCAATGCAAAAATTCTTGCTGCAACGCAATTATAGTAATTAGGTAATTAATTAGGTGAAGTAGCACAGCCCTCGTAAAAAATCTTCAGTTTATATCTTTTCCATTGACAAGATTTGTTGAGTTGATATTCTGATCTAAAAATGTAGGCCAAGTTACATCTACACCAATAGCAAAACTGTTATTCTCACCTTTTAAGGTTCGGACTTCATGTTTACTCACTACTGATAGCTTTATTCAGTTTTCGATGTGGAATAGTGAGAATTTAAATTATTTTGGAGAATTAAGTGACTGAATAAGAAAAAAAACAGGCATAAAACATCAGAACATCAAGAAAGATGCGAAAAACGTTATCATTAAGCACAGTGTAAATGTTGTTTATAAAAACAAAAAACAAAAGGGCCCTAAGTGAGATCCCAGAGGAACTCTTGAGGTAACTGAGAATTTAAAAATTATTAGAAAAATTTTCTCTATTTGGAACCTATTTTCCAGATGTGAAACCAATAGAGAAGATTGTCACTAAAATCACCTTCGCAATCAAAATGTCATGATTGATATAAACAGCACCAATTACAAACTATTTTCAGTTAACCTTGTTGAAATAAATATTTGTTCAAATTCGCTGACTTACTCACATTGCAGAGGAATGAAGTTCACTCTTTACTGCTACTTGTAGCCTCTGCTGAGTCCCAAGTCATGTAGTATGGAATAGAAGGCAATGAGAAAGTTCCAGGATATAGGCCTTGATGGGGTCTAACTTACAGAGTTTAGGTGCACGTGGTTTATAACGCATATTCACCACCGGTTCGGTGCTTCAAAGATAGCGTCTCTCGGTTATGCGGGAGCATGAAAGCCGCCGAGGCCCTTGCAAGAAGAGGGGTTGTGCTATACCGCTGATAGGACCCGAGCACTGTCTGTGGCACACTATCAACGAGCAGACAGAAGGAGAATTTATTTGAAATTTATATTTACTACTTTCTTTCAAATCTCTTGAAATAGGCTTAGCTCCATTTCATTTACGAAGGGACAGTTTTATTCAACGGAAACAACTCTTTCCTTATAGTAAGAATAGTAAGAGTAGAGGAATCCTATACTGGACTGGGTCTGTCGGCTTTAGTATCTGTTGTTTGCCGTTGGCTTTTCTAAGCGAATTTATCTTATAGTGGCTAATGCCGTTGGCATTTGGCCTTTTCTGAATTGACTCGAATAAATATTTCTACTGCTTTTCTTGTTTTTCAGTTCGGCAATTACAGATATGAAGATGTTGAACGTGCAAAAGTGCAGTGCATTGTTCTTCCCAATATAGAATGCCATGGGCCTAGGACTTTTTATAAAGACGGCTTCCCTTGTATTAAGTAAGCACTTAAGTTGTTACTCCACTGAATTACTGAGTTGTCTGTTGTTCGTCTGTTATTGTTTGTTTTAGATATGGAGGGCATTACTTCGTGACGACGCTGATGTACAGCATACTCCTCGGTTTCCTCGGCATGGACAGGTTTTGCCTTGGGCAGACTGGCACTGCCGTCGGCAAGCTGCTCACACTGGGTGGCGTCGGCATCTGGTGGGTCGTCGACATCATCCTGCTCGTTACAAACGGGCTGCTGCCGGAAGACGGAAGCAACTGGAACGCGTACGCCTAAGGAAAAAAGTTAAAAAACAAAAGCCAAGATTACCCAAGACATTTCTCCAATTGGCAAAGGAGAGTTAGGTATCTGGAAATAGTTCGGCCAGATTGATATTGAATATCTATGTAAGTATTGTATAATACGTAATATATATACATTTATGATGTACAATAAATTTGCCTTTCGTAAAAAAAATAATAGTGGGTTTTGATTTCTTCTCATTCTGTCGCTGAGCCATCGTACCCAAAGAACAATTCGATTCACCAAATGTGAATTTCTTGCATGTTTTCGGAACGATTGATGAATAATGTATTTATGTAAATGTATGAAATATTCAATAGCTGGATGGAATTTTAAAATTTACCAGACCTGTTTCTTCGAATCCTGTGCTTAAACGAACTGTTTTTTTTTTATTGATCTGTAAGATTTCTACGTATGATTCATCTAATTCAAAGCTGGTTACTGAAAATATTACCAAATTTATGAAGATCATGATCCTCGATCAGGTCTTCACTTGTCGTAGAATTATTCAAGGCTATAAGCCAGGATTCATGCTACCAATTGTAGCTTATACACCATCAGTCTCATAAGAAAGCTTGTTGGCGAAATCAAATACCTCATGATTTGTTAGAGGCCAAAGCAGACGGAGCATATCCATCTTATATGTGGATGGACAGATTTGCTCAAAAATACTAAAGATAGACGGAGAAGGTTTGCCAAGGTCCTATCGGAAAAAGAAAACGCTTTGTGCTTTTCATAATGAAGATGCTTTTTTGATGGTTGAGCCTCTAACGTTTTACACAATAGTGCAGTTTATATGAAGTTTACAAAATAAACAATCGTTGGCGTTTGACGGTGATAAAATATAAAAGGAGTGGGAAGCATCAACGTCTTGTCTCACCCTGTTTGTATCCTTGACGTCGCAACATTGCTTTCGTTTTGTTTTGTCTAGTCATAATTAAAGCAGTGCTACTGCCATTCTTTAATGTTCGCGTTTGACTCAGACAAAATTCAAAGTGAGGAGCTCAGCGTCTTGCCTCACCCTGCTTATATCCCTGATGTAAAATTAAAGCAAGAATACCCCACTTTGGCGAATTGGAATAAAACCAATGCTGGTACAAGGCATATCGATCACAAACGCCACAGGCAAATTTCTCTGAGAGGAAAAGTATCAGCGTGTTACCTCACCCTGCTTATAACACTAACTGTACAATCTCTCGAGAATAAAATTTAGATAAAAAATAAAACTGTTTTCAGAAATTAAGGATTTATGTAATAACACCAATAACCTTTTTTTAATATTTTTTTATTAAATTAAAACGTACTATAATTTTTTTGAAACTTGCGAACAGTGAAATTGGAGTAAACGAATAGGAAAACCAACAGAAAATGCAATTTTTAAATATGTCAAAAAATATAAAAAAATCGTTAGATTGAGAAAGAGCACAACAAACAGGAAAATTCGCAATCCACAGTACGATAAACCTAAAATCAATAAGGTAAAAAAGGTAACAGGAAAATCCCATTATAAAAGAAGTTAAGAGGAAAAACATGCCGATCAACCTGAAAAGAACCCTCCTACACAAACACAGCACAAAGGGGCTATGGAGCAATTAGCTCCAGAAGGAAACCTATACAAAATCAAGAGAAAACCTAAGAAAACGAGTTTAATAAGAAAAAATCCTTGCTCCAGTGGAGTGATCGGTGAGGGAAAAATTTAATAGAAATGGAAAATGCACATTGGAAGCCCGACATGACTTCGTCAAAGGAGCACAATCATTAAGAAAAATCTACTGAAGATGATGGATCAAAATGGGCCGAGTTTTTACAACAAATATGGAAACTTTATAAGGGTGTGTGTGTATATATATATTTTACATTCTAACAAGCACAATATCTCTATTATTATTATTATTATTACGGTAAATCTGAGGAAACAGTTTCGTTCATAGTTTGTCCCGTGTCTGATTAAACATGGAATCTTCTCAAATTATTAATTTAAAATTTCAAGTAAAAAATTAATAAATTTAAAAAAATTAATAATAAAGATACATAAAATATATATCTTTTCATACTTAATTAGTAAAAATAAATAACCAAACATTCAGCTTAAAAAATGAATTTATTCTAATTGAGGAGTCGGTCAGTGGACTATAAATCCACCACGTATCATATGAATTTTTTAATCAAACCTGCTGCATATATTATAGTTTATGATACATGATGAAACGTGTTATAATTTAAATTTATTTAATAAAAAAGCTGTTTTATAACTTTTAATTATTTTATACAAAATGCTCATAGTTACTGCATCACATAAACGATATGAGAGTGAACAGTATAAAATAAAGAAAAACAACATCGAAATGTTTTCTCCATCATTCGACTATGTTGTACTTGTGGAGAAGTACAACGAGATGACTCAACGAAGCTTGAAAATGCTAATTGACTTCAACTTCATGGTAGTACAGTTGCATAAAGCCTGAACGCGAGGGGGGTCGGCAAAGGGTAGATTATAAATTTTATTTTTATAAACAACATAAACAAATAAATAAATAATCAAATATCCATATATCTATATGTATCTTCTTATCGTATATCGAACTGATTCCCTCGCTGGATCAATCCATCATTCTCACACGTACCTTTTTATATATCATATCTGTCTATCGTACTTTAAATTCACTCACGGAATCAAGCAATCCCAATCATTCCATCGTTCATTCTTTTCAAAATTCTTAATCTGTCTTGATAGATTGCGAACTCATTCGATCATTGGATCACTCAATCAATCATCAACACTCACTGTTTCTGTAACTGCCTTTAGGATATAACACATTCACTTAATTGTAAAGTTATTCATTCATCAGTCAGCCCATTCACACACGTACCCACCACTGAGCTAACCATTTTTCAGCTCTTAATAATAATAATACAATTAATATAAATAACAAAACATAAGTATTATAGCAATGGAATATCCGTCTGCTTGGAGTCGAAATACCAATAAAATATAATAATATTCTCTGCGTTTTATACTATAATCAGAAAGAAAAACAAATAAAATAATCTGATGAATACAGAACAAGATAGATTTATATACCATTAATTAAGTAAAAATGTCTAATAAATCAAAAAGGGGCATCGGTGGCCGGTGGTTTAGGCGTTGACATGACGCTCAACACTGAAAGGTAAAGGACCCTGTTCGAATCCAGCGGCCCTGCATTCGAAGCCGACATACTTACAAATGGGCTTTTTTTTCAAAAATACCGGCACACCGATGGTTCAAATAACCTCGTAGTTGAAATACCCTCGTTAAAAGAAAAAAAATTGAACTCTTGCGCCAGTTCCCAGAGGTAAAACCAGGCGTGACGAGCGAATTATTAGGTGCAGGCTTAGGTCATTTAAAATTTGACTAGGCTTTCTTCCGAGAGCACAGGACTACCTAAATATGAAGCAGGCATCTCGGACAGAGTGGTACATTTAGCCAAAAAGTGCACGATGGTTTCCTTTTCCCTTGTATTGCACAGAGAGCACATTTCTTTATCCATCTGGCAGCCTATCAACGGGGTAGAGTTAAGGAACAAAAGTTCACCACGGAGTTTACAGAGCCAGCGGAGATCCCTCACTTTTAGTGTTCTTCCATCTCTCATTCATCAAGCAGAACAGATCGAGATTTAGGTCGAGCTTCTTGTACAAAACCCTCTGTTGCCAGCGCCGCTGTACAAAACCTCATGCTATCACCAGACCTTACATTGGAAAGAACACACTGTAATTTTGCCATCCATTCAGAGAATTCATTTGTCCCGAGAGAATCGGAAAGAAGGATGGTATCTCTGACTAGGAACTCCAGTTTTCATACCAGAAAATATTTTTGTTTATTATCTCCTAATTTAATATTCGTGTAACGGTGATCAGGTAGTTTTAGGGTTTTGTAAATGGAGCTTTAACGTGTGCAGAAATAAGGGATCAACAGGGGTTTCTAAATATTTTGTAGCATGTAATTTGGAGTACAAGAGGGCAAAGCAAACAGCTGCTTGATACCTTAACGACTTTTCCAACTGATCATAAGGTTGAAAACCCCAAACTTGACATCCGTACGTGAGAATGGAACAGCAAACCGCATTAAACAATTTAAATTTGGAAGATGAAGGAACCAGATCATGCTTCATGAACCCAGACCACTAGTATTAAACGCAAATTTTCATTTTTCAGCTCTTATTGTATATCTTTCACCCTTGCCGCGTTTTCACACACACCCTCTTATAAATCTTCTTTACCTTTTTCTATTTTTCTTATCTTGCTCTATGACACTGTTATACATTTCTTGCTGTCGTGTTCTGCTTGTATATAGTTAGCTTTTTGTTCATCTACTTCTCTGTTTCTTTTGCTTCTCTATTAATTTTCTTGTTCTACCACTGCTATTACTCTCTATATTTCTATCTCCTGTATCTCCTCTCTTTCTCTCTCTCTCTCTTTCTCTCTCTCTCTCTCTCTCTCTCTCTCTCTCTCTCTCTCATCTATCTATCTATCTATCTATCCCTTTTTCTCTTTCTCTCTCTTTACATTATCATTTTCTTAAACTTATTATAATTTGATCCACATTAGTATGAACTGTGTATCCACATATGAAAGAACTCTTATGCACGTTGTAAGCATTAGCTTTTTTTTTCAAAAATTAAAGCTTTTTTAAATACTCGTTTTTGGATTTTTGTGAACCATGGGAGAAAAATCATGCCTTTATTATCTCCTACCTGCAAAGTCGTAGAAATTATTAATTATTGTATTATTTTAAATTTAATAATTTGACGTGTAAATAGAGAATTTCTAATATTTTGAGACTGATCTTTCTTTCAGACTTGGTGGGTTTTGGCAAGAATAGGCAAATTTGTAAATATTTAATAAACCCTGTTCAGGTGTAATTATTTCGAGGGTGTGTAAGAAAAAAGTGCGAAAAGAAACAAAACAAATTTGTTCGGTTTAAAAAACATTACGAACGGTATCGTCGCAGGCATTATCTGCGTTATGTCCTATTTTTAATAATTCCCCTCTCTCCAGGCGTATTTTTGGATCTATCTAATCAGTTTTACTTTCAGGGCCACTTCCTAACGTTTCGAAAAAAAAAAACATTGAAACAAGTATGTATTTATATGATAATCTTTTGTTTGCATACGAACGCTTCGGCAGGCCCCAGGCTTTTTTTAGAAATTATTTCCGTTTTTCCATTGTTGGATTTTTCTATTTTTTCGGTTTTTCTGTATCTTCGTCTCAGCGAACGAAAGCCGAGAAACAAATTTAGTAAACACTTCGGCCAAAAGAAGGTTTACAAATAAAAATTATCCGACTTTAGCCATTATACAATTTCAGGTGTCCACCTTGGTGGCATAGAATGTCGAACAAAACTATTGTTAAAATTAAGTCAAATAATTATTACAAAAAATACAAATATTTATTACTAATTTCTCATGGATTTCAGGTTCACCTATAAACGTCTGACGAGAATTAGAATTAACGGGAGACGAGTTGTCGAGGTTTAAAAAATAAAAAACTAAGGCTAATCCAAGCGGACTGAAATGTCAAGTTTACAGTTTGAACAACCACAGTAGTACGAAGAGAAAAAAAATCCTCATATTGCAACAAATATATTATTCATAAATACATATAAATAAATTTTAAAATGCACTTTCTTTGGATTATTGTGTTCAGCCCCAGAAATAAAGATAAAATCTCAAAGAAATAAAAAGGATTTGTAATTAAAGTAAATCCCTATCATAAAACATCGTAGTCGCGAGGTGTCATGAAAGAGGCCAGAGCCACTTTACAATACCTTTTATATATTATTATAAATTAAAAAGCCATGTATTATACCGGGATTCGAACCTAGAACCGCTAGCGTGGCAAATACGAGTCGCCCTAACCACTCGGCCACCGCTATTCTCTCTATTGTATGTAGTTAATATGTGCATATAAATTACCTTTTGATGTAGTAAGAGTCAAGAATAACAGCAAAACTTTCTACGTACAACAGAAAACATAAGTGTTAATAGCGTAAAATAAAGGTAAGTTAATATATGATTATAAAGAGGAGGAGGAGGAAGGCGGAAAGATTAATAATGAAAAGGAATTGTATGTTGTCGATAATTTTAGTAGAAGATTAAGCCGATTAGAATGATAAATAAGACAAAGGAGATAATAATACGGATGATGGGGGGCGTCAGTGATTGCATCGGTTAAGGCGTTAACACGGCAAATCATCACTGTAAGATTCGAACTCAACATACAATTTTTTTTAAACAGCACTCCGGGTGTTGTTATGGCCTCCGCTTTTGCAAGGAAAAGACAAAAATTATCATGTTGAAGAGGAAGAAGGCAGTGAGTGATTAGAGAATACAAGTGAGACAACTACAATAATAGTGATAGTAATGTGTGTTGACAATAATTTTGGTTGCTGACAAATGATAATAATGATGATAAATAAGACAAAGCCCGCTTGTAGAAAAAGGTCCGCTAAGTGTGTCTCTCTTGATCGAGAAGTGTCAGGCCTTGGCCACTTACAAGGAGCCGAGTAGGTATGGCATATAAAGACAGTCCTTAAGCACCAGAACATGTTGTTGGGTATCCAATTCCGATTTTTATAGTTAACAGAGATGTTTTCCTGTCTTTCAAATGTAAATATTGTACTTAATTATTGTGTAGCTGTATAGTTTGTTTGTACATAGTTGTTTACGTGAATGAGTAAGTAAAAGGGCCATGGCAGAATATCGAGTGCCACCATCGGTTCTCAGAGTGCATTGGGGTGATATGAATATATGACTCCATTGTCTGCTGCCCACCATAAAAAAAAAGAAAAAAGGCATAGGTACACTCTAAGGATGATGTTGATAAGGAAGAAGACGACGATCTAGAGAAGTAGGGTAAAGGCAATTAACTATGATAATAGTGATAGGAATGGGAATGTTGGCAACAATTTTGGTAGAAAGGTTAGGATGATAATAATAAGGATGATGATGAGGAGGAGGAACAGGAGGAAGGCAACGGTGATCTAAAGAAGTAAAAAGAAGGTAACTGCGGTAATAATGAGGAATGAAATGTTGACAATAATTTTGGTAATAAAAATAACTATAACGATAAGGAATACCAAGATGGTAATAATATGGGTATATTGCAATGTAGAGAAGAAAAAATACGATGACAAATAATGAGGTAATGTCGGTTCTAAAGCAAATATATTTGTTGTTGGGTTGTTGTTAATGTTGATGAGGTTGATGATGTTGTTGATGTTGATAAAGAAGAAACATAGGATCGAGAAGATATTAACACTAATATTGATATGATGAAGAGAATGGTCCAGCAAGAAAAAGAATTGGAAAGATAATGTTATCAACAATTTCGGCAATGAAATGATGATGAAAATAATGAGGATTATGTTGATGAAGAAAGACGGTGGTCTAGAGGAATAGGAGGAAATCAATTATGATAATAATGATAGAAATAGGGATTTTGACAATAATATTAGTAGATTGACTATGATTATGATAAAGATAAAATAAGAAAAAAACGATCATAATAATAAGGATGATGATGAGGAGGAGGAAGGAGACAGTGTTGTAGAGATTTAGAACAAGGCAACTACGTTAATTATGATAAGAATGCTGTCATAAACGAAGACAATAATATTTATAGCAGATTAAGGATGATTGTGATGATAACAAAGACGAAGATGATAGTAAGGATGGTAATATTGACGATGCGGAGCAGCAGAAAGAAGATGATGGTAATGATGATCGTATTAGGGATGTACCGTTATGTTGTTGGTAATAAAATAAAAATGTTTCATTGTTTTGATGATGATGACGATTAACAATGACGATATTAACAATAAAATGAGGATGATGATGATAAAGAGTGATAGTAATGATGATGTTGGTAATTAATCTTCATCTTAAGACGAAAAGATTTAAGGAAAGTTTATATCTTTTTTTAATTAGGAACATTATAACAATATAGAATGCAATAATGTGCAATGTGCACACACTAAGAATTAGTTTTTTTAGCTTCGTCTGTGATATCCATTTGGCCAAAATTGTTGATAAATTGAAAATTGCTCATCAACTAGCACAGGCCAGTTTTCGTTTATGGTCGAAAAGACATGTTTATGACCGTGAAGATTCACACTTCGATTGCCCCTTTGTTTTCGTTGATCCTTGATCCAATTTCTTTACGAAAATTTCCCTCATCACTCATCTCAGCGATGTTGTTGAGAAATTGGAAAATCGGCCAAGTTTTTGGTGGCGAAACTGACCGAGCCGTGCGACGATCGATCTTTCTTATCTTGCTCAGGCCGACCCGAAATAGAGAAGAAACGAAATACGGTCTAACGAACAGGTCTTTGGTAAGAATGGTCCAGAATATACTACAAAGAAGATTAACAAGAAATAAAAAGTGACATAAAAGTAAACACGAGGACGTAAAGTGTAAGACGAACTTAGTGAGAGAAACGGAAAGAGATTAGAGACAACTTCTCAAAGATCGAGTATAAACGAAAGGCAAGAGTTGTAAAAGGAGAATATCAAAGGAAAAAAAGAAGGGGAAGAGAGAAGTAGAAAAGCAGCCAAGGGAAAAATAAACATGAAGAATGAAGACTAAAAAGATAATAGAGGAGAGAGAGAGAGAGAGAGAGAGAGAGAGAGAGAGAGAGAGAGAGAGAGCAAAATAATAAAAAAGTTGGGTATGTTGACAGGTTAAAATAGAAAGGTAAAAGATAAAGGTAAAAAAGATATACCTATACTAGATTGAAAAATAGATAAGTAAATAAATAGATCGAGAGATAGAGAGAGAGAGCGAAATAAAGATGAAAGGTAAAAGGTGAAGGTAAAAAAGATGTACCTATAATAGATTGACAAACTGACAAACAGATAATTAAATACGTCGAGGGAGAGAGAGAGAGAGGGAGGGGGAGAGAGAGAGAGCGAGAGAGAGAGAGAGAGAGAGAGAGAAATAATTAAAAAAGATGTGTATATCGAGAAGATAAAATAGAAAGGTAAAAGTTGAAGATAAAAAAGATATAGATAAATAAATAGATCGAGAGAGATAGAGAGAGAGAAAGCGCGCGAAATTAAGATGGAAAGATAAAATAGAAAGGTAAAAGATGAAGGTAAAAAAGATATATCTAAAATGGATTAAGAAATAGATAAATAAATAGATCGAGAGAGATAGCGAAATAATAAAAAATGGTGTGTATGTTGAAAAGATAAAATAGAAAGGTAAAAGATGAAGGTAAAAAAAGATATACCTATAATAGATAGACAAACAGATGAATAAATATATAGATCGAAAGAGAGAGGCTGAGGGAGAGAGAGAGAGAGNGATTGATTGAAAGTGCGTGTGTGTATGTGTGTGCGTGTGTGTATGTGTGTGCGTGTGCGCTCGCTCGTGTGTGTGTGAGAGAGAGATTGAGGGAGAGAGAGAGATTGAAAGTGTGTGCGTTCATTTTGGTTCGCCTATCCTCGCTGGTTTTGTTGCGAGTTTCTGCATTTGGCCATGTTAAGTAATTAGCCTGTGTTATTTTGTCAATCGTGGCCATACTAAAATGGACAAAAAATCAACTAAAGATGGCGAAATTCCGATGATTTATCAAAACAGCGAAGATAGACGGACCATTTTTAGCCTTGGTGGATTTGATTCAGTTGGTTCGATTACGGTGCTTCAAGACAGATATAAAAATTTGAAAGGTCTGAATTTTAATGAAAACTTATCTGATGGTGGTGTTTCTATGACAGCCTCCAGGTTTTTCTTTCCTCTACAAAGCGGTATGTAATTATGACTAATGAAATTTGATGAAATAATAACAATCTTATACTTCATTTTCTGTTTTTCTTTTTCTACAATGTTAAGTATTACACTTTTGATTATTAATAATGCTTAAGCGGCTTGGGCCTTAATGGCTTAACGACTTATTGTCAACTACCTTTAAGCAAATTAAAATATGATAACGGTACAATTTTAAACTTCAAAAGTTGATTCAAATTTTGCAATTGCGTCGTTTTGGCCTCAAGTGAACTTTTGCCGTTGACGTTACCGCCCCCGAGTGGCCCAGGTCGATAAAAGTAGAGCAACTACACCACGACGATAGGGAACACCCAGTCCTCGGGGCGAAATCTTTGAAACGCAGAAACCCAGAAGAGCCGTTATTATATTCAATTATGAAGAAAACACGGATAAAATATGCCTATAAATAGATAAAAACAAAATTATCTTGTAAGAATAACATATCGTTTTGAACATTCTCAGTGGATAAGGAACAGCCTGACATAAAAAATGTATTGGGTTGTCCGGAAAATAATGCAGATTTATGGTTATAAAATAAAAACAATTAAATAAATCCCTAACCATCCCTAAATACACTATATATATAACCCTAAATACACTTCTCCCAACGTGATTCTCTACTTCTCTTCTTCACTTCTCTATAACCTCTTAATAGAATTTACAGCCTTTATTATTAATAATTCTGTAAACGCCTTTTCTAACGACTTTTCACCAATAAATTTTTTATGCTGTAAAACGTTGTCCAGGTGTCAGAAAAATCTGGTAGTGGGTAGGGGAGAGGTCTGGAGAAAATGGAGGGATGGGGTAGAACCTCACGATCAAGATCCAACTGTTTTCGTGCTGTCACAAATGAGACATCGGGCCGAGCGTTTTAGAGTAACAGAATCGGTCTTTTCCGATTGACCAAAGATGGCTTCGATACTGCCGATTTCTGGTGAATTGCTTCAATTGATTGCTTCGCCAGGATTCAAGAAGCTGTAGTAAATCAGCCCAAATGAAGCCCACCAAAGTGTTTTTTTTATTAGTTGGGGATTTGGACAATGCTGCTTCTCCTTTGTCGAGCCACTGTCCCAGAATGCCTGCTATCTTAGAGAATTCACTTTTCATCACAAATGACAATTCTATTCAGAATAGGTTCGTTTCTGTTCGGCAAAGAAGTGCGTACAAACTTCAAAACGATGATTTTTAAGGTAAGTTGACAGGATACAAGATAAAGGTACAAAAGATATACCTATAATAGATTGGCAAATAGATTAATAAATAACTAGATCGAGAGACTCGATAGGGATCGTGCGTGCGTGCGTGCGTGCGTGCGTGCGTGCGTGCGTGCGTNTTTTTTAATCTACTAAGCAATCATCATTTCCTTCCCGTCTCGGTCTCTGGACGGCCCGGAGTCTACAAAACATTAATTCTCGGAAGGGGCCAATTGTTCTGTTTATAATGATTATCTTATATTATCAATTAACGTGATGTTTGCAAAAAGTGTTAGTTTAATTATATCAATTTCAGTTTAATTAGTTGAAGTATTTACAATTAATTTAGAAGGTTAAATAAATCGATATGTTGCGGTCGCGGAGGTAAATTTCGCTGTGAGAAGGATGTTGCATCACTGAACATCCTGTGTGCACGTATCCAAACATACCAGTCCGTACTTGTTTATATTTTGGTTAATGCGCAGAAACCAGTGAACACCGCGAGATACCCCAACGTTTGCCCTGGCACTCGGCGTCCACTCTGTTCATCCAAAGTCGCGTTCGATCGTTTCAGGCGGTTCGAATCTCGTCGGAAAACAGTGTCCGAAGGTGAGAAACGGAGGAGTTAGGCCGGGGCGTTGGAAAGGAGACGAAAAACTCCATTTGGAAAAAAAAACAAGACTGATTGACTCGAGTGTCGGCACAACAAGGGGTGGGCTTCCTTCTATTCAGTTTCCCGTTTTGTTTTCCCCGTTTGTTTTTACACCCGGCTTAGCGATGGAAGAGGAGATCATGGAAAATCTCGAGAACCTGGAAGAGGGCCAGGTGGCCCTGGGGCAGGGTTCGAGGGCCGAGCTCTCGAAAAGCGCCGAAGAACTTTCGACCTCCGTGCCGGACGTAAGGTTGAAGAGGAAGGCGAAGCGGCTCACCAGGCACCTGTCCAAGGACGGCACCCTCACCAACGGGGCCCACATGGCGCCGGCTCAGGTACAACGCAATTGGAAGAACACCAGGAGGCCGAGGAACGGACGCAGGAGGGGCCTTCCTAAAAAAGGTTCATTACATTCCTTTTCCAAATAACAATAATAATAATAATAATAATAAAACTCAACAGCCAATCATTTTTGTGACTTTGCCAAAATTTCTATTTTTTTCCCCATTTAATTTACAAATTTACCGCCATTTTATGCAGATGTTTGATTTTTTAAGTTTCATCGCCAGGACATTAATAGTAATTTATGACTATTCCGAACAATAAAAGAGGTCAAATTTTATAACCAGCTATTATTAAATTAAATTTGTACTTATCCGATCAGGAAAAAATCGAAGTTTGCCCAAAGTCGAATACAGCACTACCTACTAAATTTCAATTTCCATTTCAGTCAACTCTTATCTCACTTTTGGTGATTTTTATTAATGATAATCTGTGTTCAATGATTAATTATATAATAATATCAATTATGGGTTTGGCTGAATGTAAATTTCTCAGTGGACCAACAATGTTATCTATCTACTCACGAAGAACGAAAACTAGTGGGAAATTTCATTATTATATAGATGAAGAAAAAAAATCCAAGAGTTTGCCCAGTCCCGACTGGAAAAAGTCCAGTGCAGCACAACCAAAAAAATTTTTGTGTACTCTACTCTTAACTGACATGTGTTTATTTTATTAAATTCAATTAAAATGTACACTTCATTGCACAAAAGCTTCATTTTCCAACATTTCCTTTTAACTTATACGTTAAATGATAATTATAGGGGGAAATTTTCATGATTTTACTTACTTCATCTGCCTAGGAAAAAAAAGGAGACTGTCAAGTTTTCCCAGCCCTACTGGACAAATTACTTTACACACCCAAAATGAACTTGTCTTTAATTTCTTTTTTCATTCTTAACTCTCCTCTCACTTTTATCTATCTGTTTCCCTAATTTTTTATATAATATCAATTATTGTGGTAGAATTATCAAATCCGCCATTTTGTCCAAATTTTTTATTTGCTTACTATAGTATCATCATTAATTGTATTGTACAAATGTTCACATCTATTTGCCCAAAATTGACTGCAAAAATTCAAATACAGCACTACCGACTAAATTTCAATTTCTATTTCAATCATTACTCTTATCTCACTTTCAGTAATTTTTATAACACTAATCTTAGTCTATTAACTACATAATAAAATCAGTTATGAGTTTGGCAGAATATAAATTTCTCAGTGGACGAACAATGTAATTTTGTCTTGATTTTCACTTCATCTACTCATGAATAGTGAAAACTATAGGAAAATTTCATTATTACTAGATGAAGAAAAAAAAAAAAATCCACGAGTTTGCCCAGTCCCAACTGGAAAAAGTCCAGTTCAGCACAACCAAAAAAAATTGTCTGTGTTCTACTCTTAACTCATATTTCTTATTATATTCAGTATTAATCATTAAGGTAGAATTATCAAAATGTACACACTTCATTGCACAAAAGGTTAATTTTTCCTACATTTCCTCTTAACTTATATGTTAAATGAGAATTAAAGGGGATAATTGTCATGATTGTCTCGATCTGACCAAAAGAAAAGAGCGACAATCCTTCTCTATTTAATACACCCTAAGCAAACTTGCTTTTAATTTCCTTTTTTGTTTTTAACTCTCTTCTGACTTGTGTCTATCTATGTTACCCTGATTCAATTCACTAGTTTCATGGTCCGCTTGACCAATTAATATATTATAATTAATTAAGGTTTTAAGTTGAGATAAAAAAGTCAATGGCACGAGCGGGATTCGAACCCACAATCTTCGGCTTGATACGCCGCTGCTCTACCACTTGAACTATCGTGGCCTCGATCCATTTGGACATCATCTTCCCATCTCAACCAGTCCGAGTGGATCGAGGTCATGATAGCTCAAGTGGTAGAGCAGTGGCGTATCAAGCCGAAGATCGTGGGTTCGAATCCCGCTCGTGCCATTGACTTTTTTATCTCAACTGAAAACCTTAATTAACTGTTACCCTGATTGTTTATATAATATCAGTGATTGTGGTAGAATTATCAAAACTGCCACTTTTTTACAGATTTTTGAATTTTTAGTCTAATTTCAGGATATCATTAATCATAATTTACAACTGTTCTCAGCTACAAAAAAAAAATCAGTTTATAATCAGCTACTGCTAAACTAAATTTGTGGTTCATCTGACAAAAACATCATACTTTGTTTAATGTGGACTGGAAGAACTCACATTTTATATATCATAAATTTTTCAATTGTGGTGACCAAATTTTTCATTTCAGTATAATGGTGCCTAGATTTTCTCTCCACCTACTCACAAAAAATGACAAGTATATAGGAAAATTTCATTATTAGATAACCAAAAAAAGTATCCGAGTTGCCCAGTTTCAACTGGAAAAAGTCAAGACAGCACAACCACAAATTTTGTGTTTAGTTTCTTATTTACCTTTAAATCACTTTTTTCTTAATGTAATATCAATTATCAAGGTAGAATGGTTAAAATGTTCACACCTCATTGAACCAAAAGCATAATTTTTTGACATTTTTTCTCAGCATACTTATTAGTAAATTAAAAGTGCAAGGGAAAAATTTCACAAATTTTCATTACTTCCTGTTGCTTACTTGAGCTTTTTTGACAAAAAAATATCGACAAGTTTTCCAACAAAGTTGTCTTTAATTTCTTTTTTAATTCTTAACTCTCTTCTCACTTTTGCCTATCTATGTTTCCATAATTGTTTACATAATGTAAATGATTATGGTTGAATTATCAAAACAGCCGTTTTACGCAGATTATTGAATTTTCCGCTCTTGTTGTCAGAACTTTAATTGTAATGTACAAGTACTTGCGGTTATAAAAAATGTCAAATTTTGTAACTGGCCATTCCTAAATTAAATTTGTGTTTCATCCAACCAAAAGAAAAACGTTCACAAGAGTTTGTCCGGTGATGACTGGAAAAAATCAAGTTCAACAGTACTGATGAAATATCTTATTTCCATCCTAACTCCTTTCTCACTTGTGTTTATTTTTAATAATAATCTACATTTATTACATATATAATATCAGCAAATAGAGTCGATTTGGCAAATGTAAATTTCTCAATGGACCAACAACGTATCCTCTCCATCTGCTCAGAGTAAATAAAAACTATAGAGGAAAAGTTGATTGTTAGACAAAAAAAATATCTAGCAAGATCCCAAGAGGAAAAGGTCTAGTAAAGCACAACTTACAAAAAAAAAAAAAAAAAAAAATGTAATATTAATTAATAAGGTGGAATTGTCAAGTCTATACTCCTTACTGCATAAATGCTTAATTTTTTCGATTTTCTCTCGCCTTATTATATTAAGTGAAAATTAGGGGAAAATGTTCATGATGTTTCTTAATCTGACAAGAAGAAAAGACATCGACAAGTTTGTTTTTTCTTTGCTGGTTCCAATTCATTCATGGGCCTTGGTGTGACTGTATTGAAGAAATTCATTTTTTTTTCTTTTTAAAATGAATGCATTTCTGGCTAATTCTAATACCCTCTTCAGGTAACAGCGATACATTAACTTTCAGGACATTTGGAATGACATCATCAGCTGAAGAGGGGCTAATGGAATTAGCCTGAAATGCATTCATTTTAATAAAGAGAAGAAAATATACTGAAGTTTTTCAATAAAGCAACACCATTGTCCATGGTCAAAATATTACTCATTGTGGCAAAAGCACAATTTTTCCTTGATTTTCTCTCCTTGTTTTTTTTGGTTTGCGCAAAAGAAAAGATATTCACATGTATATTTTTATCCTAATCAACTATATCAAAAAATTTTAACGCACTTTTTTGGGATAAAAAACGTTCTTTCATATTTATTAGAATTAAAAGAGCCATCCTCAAGTTTTATAGTCTCAACTAAATGTTGTTATAATTATTGATTATAACAATCAATCAAACAAATTGACCATTTCAGTTGTAATTACAACAGTTGTAGATCAATTACATTTTTGTACACAGTAAGCACATTAATGATTTAAGTCATAATTTTATGATTAATGAAGCAATTAATATTGGGAATAATCATTGTGTGCATTTCTGATCGGTCAACTAAATATTTTTGTTTTTCTCTTCATCCATTGTAAATGAATCATATAAAAAAAGTCAAATTTCATTTCTCGATGTTGATTTCTAAAACTGATTGACTGTTTGTTCAACCAATGGAAAAAAGTAAACAAGTTTTATAGCCCAAATGGGAAAAGTCATGTTCCTATAATTCCAACACAACTAAACAAATTTTGTTTCATTCCCATGTCACTCTTTAACAACAACAATAAATTATGCTATGTGTACTCAATAAACAGGCAAACAAAACTTCATCTTCAAAAAAAAAAAAAAAAATTTAAATAGTTCCATCGTGGATTTCTCAACGAATTTGAAATAAAAATTTCTTCATTTTTTTATATACCAAACCATGCAACCCAACTGGCTACATTGGTTTTCAGCTCAAGATATACCAAAATAATTTTTATAATTGGTGGTCGCATGCAAAACAAAATTGGGAGTATGGTGTCATCAGTTGTCAGTGGTGAGTAGGTGGATGGTGGTAAACAAGCCAATCAGAAAGGAAAAAATTATAACGATTCATGAATTCACCTCAATTTCATACAGATTTTTTGCATTTTTAGTTTGCCTTTCAGAACATCCAACCAGTTCCAAATTTTAAAACTTGTCATGAAGAAAATGTACATTTTTGACGAATCCCATTTCATTCTTGATAATATTTATAAGAAGAAAATTGCTATATTTGGTTTTGTTCCCCCTCACTCTTATCATGTAGTTGTCTCAAGGGATCTAAAAGTGAATTTTTTATTTTCCATCTATTGTAGTAAATTAATTGAAAGATTAAATACTTTTTTAAAAGATTTTTTGTGAGATGTTGAGGCCTATGTTGTGATGAACTGTAATCATCTTCAATCATGTTTTGACATTTTGCCGTAGTGGCTGATTGACTTGGGCGATATTTGGTCAATTGTGGGCCACCATAACTCAACTCAGATGTAAATCGCCAAAACCGATGATGTTAGGCAGACCAGGATGACCACCAAATCACCTCATTGCTTGATCATCTCAGAACATCCTGGTCTCTGTGCCTATTCCTGCTGGTTCTGATGGATTTAAGACTGAAAATGTTTCCAATTTGGCTCGTGGCTCTAATCTTTTATCTTGTCTTAGTGGCAGATGGCCTGTAAACATGTACATTAGTCACACAAAAAAAAAACTTTTTTTAATTTTCTGAAGTGAAAATTTGCACTTCTTTAAAAAGCTCTCAAATTTGGCAGTACTTCAAGAATTTTCTTCTTAATTACTGTCTAAAATAGACACACCATCCTGTAATGTTTTTCTTTTTCAAAAGCTGTTGTAGGCACATGGGAGAGCCAATCTAGAAAAATCAATTTTGCCTTGAACCGAAGTTGAAAATTTAATAGCGTTGATAAAACATTCAATTCGCCATGCGCATATATAATGCAGTATAAAATGTTGATCTATATGAAAAACAGATGTTTTTTGTGCAGTTTTAGTTTTTTATCTCTCATTTTGTAGTGCCAAAAAAAATTTAAAATAGAATCGGTGATAAATCTTTTTGTAACAGATTATTGAATCTCCCCCATGAATCTTATCTGCTTTTCCAACTGCCATTGACGATGAAATTCATATAAATTGTGTATATCTTGTTTATAGTGTTTGTAAAATAAAAAAAAAGATTGATGAGCTGATTAAAAAAACAATTCTTGAACAACCATAAATTCGAACAATTACTTACATTGTCAGTTTATTTTGAAATTTTTGAAATTTATTAAAAAGGCGGAACAAACTGGTTTATCTTTTTTAAACAATTTTTAAATTAACCCCAGTGGGCTTGCCATAAATACTTAATTCTCTTATCCTTTTATTTAACTTTTTTTTAACTCAAGTATTTCATCATGGAATCTTACAAGAGTTAATTATTTTTATATTCTTCTTGTAAACACTTGCTTATGTTATTTTATGTTTTTTAATGATCTTTTATTATTTTATATTATTTAGTTGTGTTTTGTAGTAGACGTCCACTTCAATAATCCTTGAGATTTTTTATTTGTTTAATTTTGTATTAAGAAATCCAATATAGACTGGAAGAATTGGAAATACCATGTCTTTCTTTTAAGTTGATGGACTCATGCCATCCTCAGTTGGACAATTTTTAATTTTTTTTTTTTTATACTCGAATAGAAGTAGTGCTTAGCAAAAGGCGAGAAATATTTCACACTTAAAAAACGGGTATAATTTTTCAACTTTTTAACACAAGTTTTTTGTTTTGTTTTTGTAAATTTTAGAAGACACCTGATTTAAATTTTGTTTTCTTACTAAAATCCACAACCAACACAGACACTTTTAATTTTCTCTTTCTCTCTCTCCCTTCCTTCTCCCTCTTTCTTTTTCCTTCGTTGGATAAAAGCAACAGACTTCCAAACAGCTTTCATATCTGGACGGACTGAAATATGCTCCAAATTGAAATTCCCTTTTCATATTTTTAAATGATACAGTTTTGAAAGTCCCAAGAGGGTGGGTAGTAATATGCATTGACATTTTAGTAAAAGAACCCGTCAATATGAGGTCAACAATTTCGGAGAGACTGCCGCGTGCTAATTTTTTTCAGTTCTATTTTCCATCATGTAAGTAGCTTCTAAGTAGTTCATTTATTTATATTTTAAACAAAAACTTTTTTTCAAATATAACACTAGGTTTGAACAATTTACTTATTCTGTAGAGAAAAAAATATGTTGGAAGCTTACACCAAGTAACAATAAGATTCCATTTACATTTATTCATCCTTTTATGGCAGTAGTAAACTTGATAAACTCACTGGAGAGATAACTTTTTTAAGATTAACGCTTATGCATTCTTTTTCAAACGTCTAAAAAAATGTATTTTTATGTGTGTTTTTTAGTTTGGTTGTTTCTAAACAATTTATTCTGCCTGTTGTCTCTGGTATGGTCAGATGTGTTTTTGCATTTCTCCATCCAAAGTATGGTCCCTTTGATGGGGCACAACTTACATGTATTACGTACAGACTTGTGAAAAAAAAAAAAAAAAAAAAAAAAAAAACTACAGACCTTAAAGTGTGGTAATTGTACGTAATATTGTTGAATCCATGAGCAAATAATCAATAATCTGATAAAATCAGACATTGTGTTTTTTATTGCTGAGATTTTTGAAAATCTTAAATGTTTTAATTCAAGCAAAAATATCCTTAAAAAGTAATAAATTTATCCATAACTTATAAAAAATACAAATACGCCTATTTTTGTTTTTCTCTATTTATAAACTGTGGTGATGGTATATAATTAGATTTTATCTTAAATTGTAAAATAAATTATAACACAATATAACAGAATCTTTCAACTAGTCCATATCGAAAAATTACAAACAAGCTGTGATAATGCATAACAGGTTTAATAATATAATCTGTCTTAACCCCCTTTGTTAGATAATTTCATTATCTCGTTTTTATTTTGTACTCTTTAGTCAGTTATTTACATCTTCGGAGATAGCTTTTTATTTTGTTTTCTATTTTGAACCATCTTCTTGGCCTATTTCCAAGGGGATCGGCCCAGCCGTTCTGCGGTTTTCTTAATTACTGTTAAAAATTTATAATGGCTGTTGCTATGTTTTAGTTTGTTTATGTAAATCTCATACAATTTTATTTATTTTTATTTATATATGAAAATTATTAGGATAATGGAATTTTTCTAAAAAATGTTATTGTATTTGGTTTGGTAGGGGGTGCTGGTGGTAAAGGTGTCTGGGGGAAGTTGGGATCTGAGCTCGAAGAAGAGGATCTGGATCGCAACGACCCCAATTACGACAGTGACTCTCTAGATAATGGAGACATTGAACTTACGCCCATTATACCTGAGGCTTCAGACGAAGAACTCAGAGTAACATCAACTTATAAATCATTAGATGCCGGTCGTAGACTCCCATTGTATTAAATTTGACTTTTTTTTTTACAGAACGTCGCTGACCTCATCATCCGTGAATATTACGAGCATGGCGATACCAACGAGGTGATAATCGCTTTGGAAGATTTGAACTTCTCTAATAAAAAGCACATGGTAATTATTTTGAAATTTATCTATAGAGATTTGCCGTGATGTTAGTATGGTCAACTGCATTGTTAAACCACAACCCACTTATCAAATGTATGTCAGAAAAGTCAAAAATGTCTTAAATTTTGTTCTTTTTTCAGATTCCGCAATTGGCGATTGAAATCGCTTTTGATCACAAGCCATCCCACAGGGAGATGACTTCGGTTTTAGTATCTGACCTTTACGGGAGGATTGTCAAACAGAGAGATATTGCTACAGGTATTTTATGCCTTAAAAAAAAACACATACATTTATTTAAATATACACACATATGCATTTATCCCTTCCTTTTAGTATTGTCATATTATTATATCATGCATATTTGGATAATTGATAACATTGAAAAACAGATGGACATACGAAAAACCATTGCTTTAATTTAATAAATTCAAGGACAAAAATAAAATCAGAGTTGTGTAAAACAATTTTTTTTTCAGCCTTTGACATCTTGTTGGCTAACTTGCCAGATTTGATTTTGGACACACCAGATGCACCAGTTGTACTGGGCAATTTCCTGGCTCGGGCGATTGCTGACGACTGCATCCCACCGAAGGTCATTCAGGTGTTCAAAGAAAAAGCTGATACTGATTTGGCAAGGTATTCCAGAGTTTCCTGTGCAAAGATCTATTATTACTTAATAATAATAATTATTATTATTAAAGGACACAGTAACATAAAACATAAAAGGAGAAAAAAAATTAAGGATAAAATATTAAAACAGTAACTAAAAATTAAGTCATTAGCCAATCTACATATTTTCGCATCAGCTAAAAGCAATGCTTCCACAATTGCTAAAAATTAACTCAAAAGAGCTTAGAAGGTGTATAAGGCAAAATAAATGAAAGAAAATATAAAAATAATGAAGAGAGAAAAACAAAAATAAAATAAAATGCAATAAATTCAAATAAAGATAAAATAAAAATTAAAGAATACAATAATTGCAAATTGTATAATGATTATTTGGAGATAGTGAGTTGCAATCTGGTGTGACATAGGGTTTAGAAAAACATTTTCTTTGTTCCAATGTTTCAATTTTTATTAAGATCATCTTCAGGGCCTGGGATTTATAAACATTATTTAAATTATACAAATACATGTAGGATAGGATGTAAAAAAAATGAATTTATACAATGCTAGAAATTTTAGACTTACTCAAAGTGTTGGTCTATGTTCACTCCGGACCGCAACTCGTGATCTCCAAATAATCATTAATTAACGGTCACTAAACACCACACACTACAATTATAAATTCAAGATTTTTACAGTAATAAATTTTTTGAAATCATAATGAGAATTAAATTTGTTAAAATTAATTTTATGATCGTAAAGAAACCTAAAAACAACATTTAATGGAAAAATAAAAATAAAAATTAGTGTTTACTGTAGATATAAAAATATTAGTTATCACTTTTTGACTTGTTTGATACTCATTGTTTGATTCAGCAAAAAGATTATTTTTAATGATATACAAACAAGAACATTTTAAAAACAATTGTTTAAATTTTAGAACCTGAAAAATATCATATAGTTTATTGGTGTTGAATCTAAAAGGTTTTGAAAGGATAATTCCCAAAAGAGAATTTTGAATTATAATTAATGGATTTAAATAACAATTATTGGTTCCACTCCATGAAACAATACCATAGCAAATTATAGACTGAACTGAGGCATAATAAAAATTGATTTTAACCATTTTAAATTTACGATCTTTCTTAGTACCTGGAATTTGTAAAGGGATTTTCTCAGTCACATAACCAAAGAATCAATGTGAAACTTAAAATTTAAATTAGTCCAATATAATTCCCAAAGATTTAATATTACTTCTAATTGGTTTGGCGAACCGTTACAGTTAAACAAATTAATACACATATAGAAACAAAATTTAAAGCTCTTTAAAACTAAGCTTTTACTTAATGCCAAATATAAAGCTTTTACTTAATGCCAAATATAAAATACTGGATTTACCATTGTTTAAAATTAAACGGTTAGAAGACAACCATGTTTTAACAAGTGTAAGATCATTGTTAATAGATATAAACAAATGATCAATTATCCTTCAGAAAAAATCAATAAATCATCAACATAACTGAAAACTTCACCGGATATTTTCAATTTTAAAATATCGATAATATAAAAAGGAAAAACAGGGGACCTAAAACTGTACCTTGAGGGACACCAAAGAGGATAGGCAATGGATTGCTATAGACTTCCAACTTTTGTTGTCTGAGTTTTACCCACTAAATAGGACTCAATAAGTTTAAGTGGAACCACAACAATTCTTATTTTAGTTTTTTTTAATAACAATTGATGATTGACAAAGACAAAAGCCTTTTTTAAATCTAGAAAGATCCCAAAAACATAACCTCTATCCAATTCTTTTGAAATATTGTTAACATCAAATGGTGCCTGTTCAGTTGAATAATCAAATGTTTAAAACACAAATAAATTTGAAAATTAGAGGCCTGACTGTGAAATACAAGCTTGTTCATAAAACGTTCGAAATAACTTGAGATTAATGAAAGTAAAGCCTTTGATTAATTGCAGGCAGACGCTTCAGAGGGCCGACACTCTTTTATCAATGAAACATGGGCTTGTTCGCCTGGACAACGTCTGGGGCGTCGGCGGTGGTTTGAGGCCTGTCAAATACCTCATTAGGCAGATGAATCTGCTTTTGCAAGAATATCTGTCATCTGGTGATCTCAAAGAAGCGACCCGGTGCCTTCTTGATTTGGAAGTACCCCACTTCCATCACGAACTTGTTTATGAGGTTTGTTTCAATTTATAAAACGGATAAAAATGGACGAATATATTTTACCACTTGTACAGGTTATTGTGATGACTTTAGAAGCTCTTAATGTTCATGTTGAGGAAGCTATGTGTAAACTACTCAAGTCTATGTGTGATGCTATTATTATAACTCCTGATATGATGGAAAGAGTGAGTAAATTTTTTAATCTATAAAGTTCAGTCCTTGAATGTTATATTTTCTTTAGGGGTTCTGTCGTGTTTATGATGACATTCCTGATATACTGTTGGATGTTCCACTTGCTGCAACTGTATTGGAAAGATTCATCGGATTATGCCACAAGGCTGGCATAATATCCGATCAATTAGTCAAGAGGATGCCATTCAGGTGAGTCAAATAATTTTAAATAATAATTACTTGTTGTAATAACCATCCTTTTGTTTGCGAATGTCCAGAGGGCGCAAGAGATTTGTGTCTGAGGGAGACGGCGGGCGCATCAAGGAGTTGATTGTCAACTGAATCCCTTGATGACCCCCTAAGGAGGAAGAAGGCGAGGACAAAAAACAAAAAAAAAGATGAAAAGTACTGAGAAAAAAAAATAAGGCCGAAACAAAAAAAGAGAGAGAAAATGAAAATTGAGAAAAACCTCAAGTTGTTCTTCAACTTGTACTTACTGCTTTGTTCTATAGATGTGTATATAGTCTGTATCAGTATTTTGTGTTCCTTACAATTTTTGTGCCACAAATCAAAGGCCTATTTGCCATAAAAAATTTTGCTTATTCCTTTTTTTCTTTTGTTTTCTTTTGAGTAAGAATTAAGTAATTTTTAAGATGTGTTTAATTTGCTTTCTTAGTATTTTTTTGAGGTTTTCTTTATTTAGAGGTTTAAATTCATTTTGTATTCTATTGGACATAAACCCTAACTTCTTTTTCTTTCTCGGGGGAAAAAAAATATTTTCTGTTAAGTACTAAACTTAGTAAGTAAGTTCTGTAATCACTACTATAAGTTTAAAAGACCTTTATCAATATAATCATTTTTTTCTGTCAATTTGTATCCTCGTTGACTTATCACATTTTTTGGATACACTTTGAACATACTTTATACCAATTTATATTTTATAATTACAATTACATTATTGTTAAGGAATTTACTGCATTTAAAATCTAGAATCGTCTCTCCCTCTCCACCATTTATTACGCCAAGGCAAATGTAGTAGCATTTCTAATAATTGGTATGTAACTTACCAAGAGGGAAATTGCCTTGAAAATTTAAGAAATATCACGATCAAGTTGTAATTGTAAGTAACCTATACAATTTAAGAATGTAATAAAGATTTAAGAATATTAATTTGTGTTTTCTTTTCAATGCTTTTATTCAACGTTAATTATTTGATAATTATTTAGAATTATTTAAATTCCTTTGATAAATAATACAGTAAGCTAACTCCAATAAAAAAAAAAAAAAAAATTTTTAATATCAGCTAAATTATTCTACATGTTCTCCCTCAAAAAATGGTTCAAAAATATGACTCCCCAAATGAATCACAGATTTGTCCATGAGTTAAGGCTATAACACAAATAGCGGTTTTGACCAAAGTGTTTACCGAGAGGAATACCAAGTTGATGGTTGTTTCTTGAGGGTGGGACGGGGGTGTGGCGCATATCGTCTGGTGGTTTTGAAACAGAGTTGGTGGGTCGAGACAACTCCACCCCAGTTGGTTTTGAAAGCATATTTCCTGGAATGGTTGTGTGGTATGCCATCAGCTGTACCACATGTATCTGGCGTCCAATTATGCATAAACATCTGTTTTCTATTTTGTATTTATCTTGCATTTTTTAATATATTTTCTACAAAAACCACTATTGTATGACATGTAATATAGATAAGATTATTAACATTTACATCATATTAGATGTTATTTATAAAATTAAAATTAATTATATTGTATATTGTTTATTTTCCGCAAGGTACAATTTTTAGTAAATTGTTTTAAGCACTGTTATATTGTTTTCATAGAGGAGGTTTATTTGAGTATACAGCCAGTTTGATACATTCAACAGTGTATCAAATTAGCTTTTTTTGTATTCAGCACAGGGCAATGGAACGAGATAATCTACATCCTGAACCTACTTGCCTTAAACGTACGCAAGTGACGTCACTCCAATTCTTTGCAAATATTCCATGTTGGGCCTGTGCCGCCCGTGAGTCTCCCTCAGCCTTGCCATTATATTAAGAGTCAGTCCAATGACAGTCTTTACTTTTTGAAATTTACTACCTTTTTTCTCTTGATTCCACAATTCCAAATACAAATTATTAAAGTGCACTTTTTTTCTACAATCACGTGAACCCACATCAAACTTTCTTTTCATCCATTGCACTAATAAACAATAATAGAATAGTGCGCTATAATAATTGACAAAACAGGAAAACGCAAGAATGAGCCTGGCCGGTTCCTTTGAACTAACCAACATGCTGCCGCTAGTGAAACTGCAGCGTGTCAGCTACAAAAAACCTGCCACGTTAAACGCTTTAGTCTAAACCACTACATGTGCCCTTACTCTGCCCTGCTAAGAAGAAATGGAATATCCCCAATTTTTTTTTACTTTCTGTTTTTTATCATATTCTTAGGCAAATTTCTTACTGAAAAACATGATAAAATAAGTCCAGAAATATTAAAAATATCAATTTAAAATATAGTCTCATTGTATATTATCTTACAAAGTTTTGAAGGAAATATTAGTAAAAAAAACTATTTCCAAAATTTCACCGTATCTCAATAAAAAGTGTCTTTATTACTAGATAAGATTAATGCATATGTGACTTTTTTTCTTTTCCACTTGGATTACTCCGCTTAAACTCATTTTGTGCATAAAAATCAATTTGTGGGGTGTTGCATTGAACATAAAGAAATGGAAATTCACTGGTATTAATAAAATGTTTCATTACTAATGCTTTATGTACTATTGCATTGCGAAAGTTGTAATAAATTTTAAAAAAAATGGCCCTGCATTCAAACCTGACATAAATGGGCATTTTTTTCAAAAACCAGCATCCCAAGGGGTTGACATGACCTCTGCTAATGTGAACCCTCGTTAAAAAAATAAAAACAATTTAAAAAAAAAACAGATACTCTTTTTCATAAGTAATTATCACCAATCTTTGCTGGTTAAATTTAACGTAACATTTATTTTTTAAAAAAAAGTTAATCTATCAGTAAGTTATAAATTATGAAAAAAAAACTCATCATTATAAAAAAAAGAAGCTGGACAGAAGACATGTCATAACGTTCGAAGTTCTAGGGCAAAAATTTAAAAAAAATTTGGCATCACAACGTAACCGAGGCCATTCAGCAGGTAAACTTCAAAGCTCAATTTCTCAAAACTATCAAAACCGTAGATATGGCATTACCCCTTAGCAAAGGGGGGGCAGTACTTATGAGGTGAATGTATCACATATGTTATCCACTAATTGAAAATGTGATGTATCACAGCATGAATTGTACCACATGAGACGCCCAATAATGTGAATATATTACACTATTATATAAAAAAATACTAATGGGGTAACTGGTATGATGAAACTGTTGTAGGTTGAATAGCACCGGCGATTGATCTGGTAGTTGGACATATAAAGCCATCATGTTTGACAGGAATTTTCATGAGGTTAAAGAAGTATGGGTCAAGCATCTGTTAATAACTGGCAAATTATTGATTTCTCATACTCAGTGATACCTTCTTGCTTTGAACCATTTAAATGTTGTATTTTATAAGTAAAGTTAGTTTTTAACTACCATAGATTTGGAAAGCATAATTTTTCTTTTCATGTGCATCTGCGAAAAATTGGGTGATTTTCTGCTAGGAACCAATTGGAAGGATGAATTTGAAACCAGTCTAAAATGTATATTTTTTAACTCCATATTTTAATATAAATAGAAAACAACAGGACCTAACAATTGATTGAATACAATAGAATTTCTGATATTTATTTATAGGATTTGGTAGTTTTTTGATCACATATGGTCATCAGTGATATTGACATATGATGTTTAGTGTGAGCAAAAGCATTTTGATGTGCATATAAAACATTAGATGTTAAGAGATTTTTCTTTTTCCCAAAGATCCAATCAACAATATTTTCTTTAATTTCTGACATTTATTTGAACAATTTGTATGACAATTTAATAGAAAAAACAACATCCAATATTTTTCTCTTAACTTTATGTATTAACAATATGCTAATATATAACAATCATTTTTTATAATTAAGCGATAATTGTATATTTGTTCTTTAAAAAAAAATCATTGGTGGATTTGGCAAGTGGGTTTTTGTTATCAACCAAAAGATAAATAAAACACAGTAAAGATAAATTAAAGAATAAGTTTTCCTTACTTTTATAACATGAAATAAAAATGTCCATTTACAAGTGGGGAAAAAATAATAAATTGTGAGCAATACAAATACAATCATGTTTAAAATTAACAACAAAATTAAATTTAAACATAATATTTTAAGGATAAAGAGAGCACAAAATGTAAAATTAGTTAATTTCTTGTTAACACCCTCAATCGTGTTTTATTTCACAAATACTGAACCTCTCTTAAAATTTCTCTTACAAAATTATGCAACCTCGTTAACTTGAACCCCACATGATGTTTTTTTTTTTATTTAAATTATTTACTTCTTGCTTTTATCGTAACTTACTAAGTTGTACTAAATAATCAGACCACAAGTTTCTCATTTGCCCCTCCTTTTCAATTCTTTGACTAGCTCGACACCCATTTGTGCAGGGCTTTTCGTTACTACAACACCAGCCTAGAAAAGAAGAGTCGTATGGTGATTAAAGACAATGTGTTTCATTTATTTATTTTTCTATTTTTTTACCTTCTCGAGGGCATTGATTTTATCTTGAGCTCCACCTTTGCCACCTGAAATGATGGCGCCTGCATGCCCCATCCTCCTTCCAGGAGGTGCACTCAAACCGGCAATGAATGAAACTACTGGCTTAGAATTGGGGCCCTTTAACAAATATTTTCAACAATTAAAATTAAAAAAAAAAAAAAAAAAAATTATAGTTGGGCCATTTCAAATTATATTGTCTATTATTACTGCTTCAGCATTTTGCCTTGTTTGATGGTTCAGGTGTGCATACCATCACCCCAAAGGAACACGAACCCGACCAATCTCACAACCATAAAAATTATTATTTTAATGAACTCACAGAGTTGTTTTTTAAAAGATATTCAGCTGCTTGTTCCTCGGCCACACCTCCAATTTCTCCGATGAGAATAATGCTTGATGTTTCTGGGTCGTTGAGGAAAACTTCTAGACAGTCGATGAAATCGGTGCCGTTGAAAGGATCGCCGCCGATTCCAACACAGAGAGTTTGACCTAATCCGACCTGGGCAAAGGCAAAGTTCAATGTTGAATGCTTTTCCCCATAGGAATTACCGATTTTACAACATTACCTGAGTTGTCTGATGAACAGCTTCGTAAGTCAAAGTTCCAGACCTGGAAACAATACCGACTGAACCTCTCTTATGGATGTGACCTGGCATGATACCTATTTTGCACTGAAACGTTAAATTAAACATTTTATTATACAAATAAATATTACATTTCAGTACATTAATAAGTTAGTGCATAACACATTGTACTTTTTCTGTTAATCTTTCTGATCTTTAATAAATACTTTTTGTTACTGGCTGTTAAAATGGTAATATCGTCTTTTGAAGCTCCGTACAATGGTTAATTTTTTTTAATGAGTTGCAACTTCTCTGTTTTTGGGGCAAAAGAAGGACGACAGTCTGAATTCAACTGCACTGAATTCAAACCTGGAACCTTTACCTTACAGTGATTCATTGCCATGTCAACACCTTAACTTAACGGCTACCGACCATAATCGTTTTTGACTATTTCAAAGAAGATCTAGTGGAATGAACTCTTTTTTTTATTTCCTGGCTCCAAAAAGTGCACTGCCCTTAAGGTCCCTTTCTTTGGTTCCTCTTTACTTATTTTTTTAGGCGTTAATATCTCATAGAGTAAACTATTTTTGGATTTATATCCTAAGCCCACATTTCTTATTTTTGTATTTTTTTTTTGTCCATATGTTTCTTCTAGGTAAGTTTTTAATCTTGTGTTATTCCTAGATACAGTCAAATCTTGATAATTCGAAACCCAAAGGAGCACAAAATAATTCGAATTATCAATGCGTTTGAATTATCAAGAGGAAAGATAAAAATTATTAACATTTTTAAAGATTCTTATGTAAATTGTGCATATATAAAACATCAGTTTTGTCAACAGTGAACATTGTTGTGCACTATAAAAAAAAACTCATGAAGGTTTAAATGATTTTCCAAAATGACCAATTTTGAAAACACATTGACAAAACACTAAACTCCATATATAACAAATTACAAAAAAAAATCGAAGAATTAGACTGCAAGGAAGTAAGAAATACGTGGAAATTTAGAGGAACATTACAAAGAATAAGTTCAAATTATGAAGAAGGGAAGAGGCTCCATTTCGATTAATAGAATGCACTCTCTACCCTTGTTATTATTGTATTAACAAGTGAATCAAAATACACAGATTTTTTTTTCAATTTACCAAAGTCATTTACTGAGGAGTTCATATTATCAAGAAATTCTTTATTATCAAGTTTCAAATTAACAAGTACCGATTGTACTCGGTTTGCTTTTCTTTGTGACACTCATATTTTCACACGACTTTTCTACTAATTTGTCTTTGCAAAGCATTAAATTATTATATAAGCAGGAATTTCATGAAGGGACCAGAAATGTTTCTTGTCCAAATATCAAACAACAAAGAGATGTGACAAATTCATAACCATTTGATTTAAAATGACGATAAAAATATTCATAAATAGGCATATTCCTGTTTCCGTCAGTCTGTCAGGAAAATGAATGGTTAGGACGTCTGATTCATATTCCCTTCACTAGCAGTTCTGGTTTCAAATCTTTGTATAACCCTTGAACTTTGATGAGAAAAAATTGACAAAAGGTATTTTGAAGTGGTCCTGAATGACTGAAATTACTTTACTTTCATTCAAATGCAAAGGTAATATTTAAAAAAAAAAAATCACAGCAGAATTTGAATTTTTTGAGATAAGTATTATTTGCATAAAGATTACCACCATATTATCTTAAGATTTTTAAAACATAAATACAGAAAAATATTAAAAAATGACATATTTTTGATCATTTTCTTTCCTTTGTTCTTTCCTTGTCGAAAATGTACTCGATATTAGTGATAAATGTTTATTTGTGCCAAATATCAAATTCCTAAAATACCAATTAAATCTCAGAAATGTTGATATTCGAAACGATTTTTGTTTATTCTATACAAGTATACTTTCAGAAAAGTACAATCCTCTTAATTTCAGCAGGGCTGACATTACAGTTTAACAGTGGTTTCAACGTGTTTGTACACTACTTACTTATCTCACTATAAAGAAAGGCAAAAAAATAGAGAGAGAAAACGTGTTCACCTTGAGATAAAGTCACAAGCAAAAAATAAAAACACATTCCATTCATTGATCATTTTTGAACTAAACTGGTAACAATTCGTACCGAGTCTATAATTTATTTAAAAAAATATTTTTTTTCTAGTTTCATAACAGACAATTTAAAAAAATTATACCAATTCTGGTGCGATGATTCCGGGACAATTGGGCCCAATAAGTCTCGATTTGTTCTGACGGATGAGACGGTGTTTTACCCTGACCATGTCTTGTTGCGGGATGCCTTCCGTGATGCAGACAATTAACGGCATTTCGGCGTCAAGGGCCTCGAATATGGCCTTGGCCGCTCCAGGAGGAGGGACGTATATGACAGTGGCATCAGCCCCTGTCGCTTCTTTAGCCTGCAAGTTAAACGTTAAAAATCTCCGTTGAATCTCTCACGGGTGCAATTTTCAACACAAACCTCTTTTACAAAGTTGAAAACGGGGAGGTCCAAATGTTTCTTTCCTCCCTTGCCGGGAGAGACGCCGCCGACGAGTTTCGTACCATACTCGATCGCTTGCTGACTGTGGAAAGTGCCCTGTTTCCCAGTGAATCCCTGGCAGATAACTTTTGTTTCTTTAGTCAGCAGTAAATTTTTCCTCGTCTCGGCGTAAAGTGAGTTTGAACGAATCCCACTCAAGTTCTTAACTGCGAACAAGAAAATTATTATTCTTTATTCGTGGAATATTAATCAATTTTGATCTTCTATTAAATCTCTAACCAGTTATTTTTATCAAGCTGTTGTACAATACAAAAATAGAAATAGGTTAAACAAATATAACATATTTTACTATTACTTCTGAAAACATTTTATTACAGGATATAATAAAATTATCAACCATAGGGCCGATAAAAATATTTGTTGTTTAGAATATTATTGCAAAATTTGATAACCAAGACCGTTTAAGTGCCGAGTGTAGTGCAGATTAAATACTCCAGGGTATTCATTGAAAAATTCAAGTGTCAAGAGACCTGCTACCCCAAAAATCATCATCAACAAATAAATGGATGGTAAGTTGAAACAAAAACACCTGAAGTAAGAGCAATTCATAGAAATCATGAGTAATAGGACAGTTATAAAAAACATAAAACAAAAGTTAATAGTAGTACTTGATAGTAAGAAATTAATTATTAACTCCTTTAACCCAATAGCGCACAGACTATAAGATGATCTACAGACAACTGATTTGTGTAAAATCCACTAACCTTCGAATCTCAAAGAACATCTTCAGCCTTCTGAGAGAGCCTGGTCTCTCTTGCCCTACATAGAGCTGACCACAGCATTCTTGCGAAAATAAAAGAAGCTGCAAAGACCTGTCGTTCACTGGTGTTATTACCATAGATGTCCTTTTGACCTATTAATATATTCTAGACTAAGTATAACAGGTTTAATTTGAGATATTTTTTCCATCGGTGTTTATTTGTTAAGAATTTCTTATTAATTTTTGTTAAAATTTCAAGGTTTCTACTAATTAATAATAATTTTTTGTTGTCCCTATTACAGTTTAAAATTTAAGAGTATCATTAAAAACTAGTTTTTTTTTATTTTTTACTTCTGGTTTACTTTTCTTTAAAACTTCTATAATCAATCAAGTATGTTTTTCTTTCTTTCTTTGGTCTACAAAATTAATCTAGTCTGAATGAATCTAAATGAATTTTTTAATTTGAAGCCATTAATGGATGGCTGGTCAATAAAAGGCTATTACTAAAAATTTGAAAATAAGTTCACAAGTTATAGGTCACTGTATCTTGAGTGGGTATATGCTGTTTTCATAGCAAAATATCCAATTTTTGCAAATGCTATAAAACATTCTTAAGTGTGACAATGCAAGACGACAACTCATTAAATGAAAAATGTAAATGCCCTCACATTATTCATGACATGGTATATGCTATTCTGGAGAAAAAAAAGCCATATTGTGTGACTTAATTCTTGAGGTAATGAACCTGTAATTTGGCCATTTTTGTTCATTTTGGACTTCCTACCTAACCTCACTGTTTTGGTCTGTCAGATACGATTCGGCTTTGAATTATCTTCAGCGATAGGTCTCTCACCCCATAAAAACGGAGCGAAGCCAAAACACATCTGACGGAACAACAGCAGCAAGGACAAGCAGACTAAAAAGATTATAAATGAACAAACTACAAAAAGTTTTACATTGGATAGTTTTTTTTTTAAAGCTGGGCAATCAGACAAAAAAATACCTTATCTAATTTACTAAAACAATATTTTATGTACCAAAGTTCAATAGTGTGATAAAACCCATGCAAAAGTAAATCAATTAGTAAAAAGGTGAGAAAAATCCAACATTTGATGCTGTGAAAGCTAAAAAATTGTAAAATAACAGAACCTTATCAAAACAAAAATTCTACAATTTGTTAAAAGGTGAGAATTGGTTAAATTTAGATAATTAACTTCAGCGTTGAAAGCTGAGAGTGTTTAAATCTAAGAAACAACCTAGGTCATGGCAACTCAATAGGCTGCCAATTTTTACCATCATAAATCATGTTGTGCGTAACAATAATAAATTAATTGTAATAAAATGTATACAGTTTTCTTGCTGCAACTGATTGGGAAACTATTTCACACCCTCATCAGTGAAGAAATTTCACTATAATCATAATGATAGCTTCTGTTGATCAAGTTTAAGCGAGTTAACGCTTTGACCGATTTTGAGAGTGACTTGGTGAATTATTTCTATCTATATATATTTGATATATTGTATCAAATTATTTATATATGGTAATTTAAATATTAATCTTCCTGAAAATAGACAAAACAAAAAGAAAAATACACAAATATATTAATAATCACAGTGGATTTAATTACAATTACAGCAAATTTATCAATTTTAAAATAAAATGATTTGTAATCAGACACCTTCCAACACATGTTAAAATGTTAGTAAATTTTCTGTCTTATAGATGATAGAATCTCTATAAAGTTATTTCTGTATTTTATAAAGTGACCTTCTCCATACACTATTAATGCGTCTACTCCCTGTGTCAGTCGGCCAAGGTCACGCATTTAAACAACTAAAAAGGAGGAAGACAACAAAGCAAATATTTGCGACTTCTTATAATTGGAAACAAAAGAAAAACATACACAAATAAATATTGTGTCGTCGAAAAGTACAAGCACCGAGAAAAATACTCCATATTAATTTAAATAATTATCAACACTACTTGCAAATTTTTCAAGGATAAGCCTGATACAAGGACGGCGTTAAGTAAATAAAAGAATTTTTTCTTCACTAAAATACTTATACCTGAAACAGTAATTTATAAATAATATAAATTAACTATTCTTTTTATCTAAGGTCTTTGGTTGAGATGAAAAATTAGTGTCACGAGAGGGATTCGAACCCACGACCTTCGGCTCAATACGCCGCTGCTCTAACCACTTGAGCTATCGTTATTTCGATCCCCTCAGAAACCAATTTTTCATCTTAACTAAAAACCTTAGATAAAAAGAATAATTAATTGGAGTAAGTAATACGGTCAATTATGACCACGAAACAAGTATGGATTAATATAAATTAACTTTAAACATAAACATAATTTTCTTTATTTTATGAATGTGCTTGTTAATTAAGAACTGGCAGTAACAGATTTCAAACTTAGATTTCTTGCCAAATTATAATTTAAATGTATCAATATTATATTTTTATATATTTTAAAAAAATATCACAGTTAACTAATCATGAGGGAGGTTAGAGAAGAATATGCTGGTAGAAATGTACAATGAAAGAAAGCTTTATTTAATGGAGCATATTGAAGATGTTTGTAATGTAGCACATTCTCCTACAATAAATATCTATATAATTTATAGATCTTTAATCTTAACCGGTTTTTAGTAAATATTAATTTTTATGCAGATATGAGATGAAAAATTAATTTCATGAGCAGGACTCGAACCCACGACATCCAGGTGCTCTCCGTAACTCTCTAGAGCATAGCTCAAGTGATAGAGCACTGAGGTATTAATCCCGATGTTGTGGATTCCCGTGTTTGATAATAAGGTAACTGTTTAACATGCAGATGGTGGAAGCTTCCACGAAGAGTCAGAGGTCAGCAGTTGTCCAAAATGCAAAAAAATTTTCAGAATAACTACTACTTTTATTGTAACTTTTGGCACAATAAAACCAATCACACACACTTCATGCATGTTATATTAATTACTGTCCAATGCTTGCCTTTCACTTAACTTAGATTATCAAGGGATGAACATTTTTATAACAAAAAATTGACATTGCATAAATGAGCTAAAACACCTTTTCATCGTTCCAACCTGATGACTCACAATTAATCAAGAAACTTATGTAAGATAATTTGGAAGATTTTCTTGGAGAAAACACTCCAATAATTTCTTAAAATTCTTGACACTTCCTAAACATTTGATCAAATCTTCATGCAATATAATAATGCTGTTAATGTGCAAATTTCTAGACAATTCACCAAACATTTAAAAAATTTTGGTTAATCGGTTTAGTTAATAAATAGGTAAGAAAGGGGAAAGAAAGGATGGTCTTACAGTCAGGGCTGGCAAATCTCATTTAAACTGAAATTCTCATTTAAGCTTGAATCTGATAAACTTTGCAAAGCTGCAAAAAGTGACAAAGCTATCTCATATATCTTTTATCAGTTGATTTTTGACTTTAGTTTACACGGAAGTTTAAATGACTGTTGCATTACATATTACAAACAAAAAGCCTCAGCAGCAATTTCCAGAACGATCGACCAATAATATAAGGTAAAAAGATTTCTTATTTTTAGATATTCTGTTGATACTGAGGTCTGTGAGGAGATCAATATGTTTCAGCTTCTCTTCATCCTCACTAGGGTATCAGATCAACCAAACCAGTGAGGATAGGCAGGATAATTTGATATGAGCAAACTACAAAAAAGACTGTATTAAAGCTGGGTCATGTGTAATGATACACAAGGTTCCATATTTAAAAAAAGTTTTATCTTGGTCAATTTAACGTTAGTTTGGGGGTTGTTCATGCACCCTCAGATGGGTTATGCCCTGGTCTGCAGGAAGGTTTTTCCGGGTATGAATTGTTAAGGTTTTTTATCCTCAGTCATCTGAAGCATTCTGTTAATAAACTAGCTAGGGTATCGTGCCTGTCAGTCTAGGGGCCTCTGAAGGCTCTAATTAGAATGGCTGAATTTACGTTTAACGTAAAACATAAAATCTTGTACTTGTCAGCTTTACTAAAGCTAGTTTGTTGAAAGACACCAAGTCCCATGTTTAAACAAAAGAAAATTTGCTAGTATAAAGGTGAGCAATGTGACAGCTGTCAATAATTGTCATATAATTAGGCAGATTTGTTGAAATCTGATAAGGTAAATTGATTAATTAAAATGCTGGGTTTTTTATATAATATATATATTACCATATTATTTTGATTAATTATTCTTTTCATCTTGACCAAGACCTAAGATAAAAAGAATAATTATTTGAATTAATATGAATAATATTTCCATTATAAAAAATGGCAAAAAGGAGAGAAAATTCGAAAGGTAGGTTGGGATGGGAAGTTGGTATTCGAGTGGATCAAAGTCACGATAGTGCAAGTGATAGAGCAGCGGTGTATTGAGTCAAAGGTTGAGGGTTAATATCTTACATAAAGATTAATTAACTGAAACAAATATTATTTATTGTTTGGTTGTCTCTGGTCAGTCTTGACTGCTTATCCTCACTGGATGAAAGATGAAGCTGACGACTTCTATATTTGCTAATAATAATAAACTATAATTATTAATAATAATTAATAATTATAATATAGTTTGGCCAATTTGTTAAAATTATAATTATAATAGTGTGGCGTCTGAATTTCATTCAAACCTCACCAACAAAGTCATCCTGAGCTATCTTTCAATCAGGTCAATCACAACGCATTAAAAATTAATGTCTTTTTTGACATTTTCGTGTCATTATAAAATAAATGTCAAACAATTGATGACTGACGTATCATTTGCTCAACTGCCTGATAACTACATTTAACTTTGCCAATTTGTTAATATTACAAATGATGAGGTGTTTTCTAGAAATACCAAATTGATAAAATATCAAGACAAACTTCACCAACGAAGACATCAATGCAAATTTTTGATCATACCAACCATAACAGATCAAAGATGAATCTGATGACTCTTCTATCATTTGCTCGATTACCTGATAATTGTGCCATATATAATTTGGCCAATTTGTTGAGATAATCAGTTTTAAGACCGGGACAAACCAGTTGATCCAGACAAACCTCACTGATAAATTCACCCTGAGAAATCTGTCTAACAGACTTATCACGACACATCCAATCTGAAGACTGATCATTTTACCAATTCTCTGATTGTTGGATAACATATAATTTGTGAGATTTATTGATACAAATGACATTATAGTTTAAGGCCCAGAGCAAACTATTTTGATTGAGACAAAGCTTACTGCTAAAATCATCATGAGATATCTGTCAATCAGACTTACCACGACACAACAAACTGAAATTGATAACTGATCAGATCAATTCCCTGATTAGAGTATAATAATTTGGTAGATTTATTGATACAATTCATATTATAGTTTTAAGGCCCAGGACAAACTAATTTTATCGAGACAAACCTCACTGCTAAAGCCAACCTGAGATATCTGTCAATACGACTTATCACTACAAAACAAAGATAAAACGGATGCCTGATGATTCGATCAATTCCCGGATCGTTGATGATTGATTTACATAATCTACGTGCAGTGTTAATGCCCAGGAGAATCCAATTTGATCCACACAACCTCATTGCTAAAGTAAGCTAGAGATATCTGGCAATAAGACTTATCATTACAAAACAAAGATGAAACTGTTGACTGATGATTCGATCAATTCCCTGATCGTTGATGATTTACATAATTTACATACACTGTTAACGCCCAGGAGAATCCAATTTGATCAACACAACCTCATTGCTAAAGTCAGCCTGAGATATCAGTTAATAAGACTTATCATTACAAAACAAAGATGAAATTGATGATTCAATCAATTCCCTGATCGTTAATGATTGATTTATATAATTTATGTGCAGTGTTAATGCCCAAGAAAAACCAATTTGTCCGAGACAAAACTCACTGACTTGTGACTCACTTTTCATCAGCTTGACTTGTTGGTCGATATTTTTAGTTTTTCACCAATTGTCATTGAAAACTAATTTTCTTGGTCTTGTAAGAACAGATTTTGTACATTTTTTAAATTCTTTTGTATGAAAATAGGTAGTGCTGGGCAAAAGATGGTTGATGGGTGTGTGCTTCCAAATTCCAATTGTGATTGTTTATAAGATTATGCTGATAATTGTCCAATAATCGAGTGGGGACGCTAGAGTTCCTTTATCTGGGAGATTAATGTGTTTACATGTCTATTAAATCAAAACGCAATAATGTGTAAAAGTGGGTTTGGTAATATCCGTTGTTATAAAATTGGATTTTTTCATATTGTTATTTTTAAATAGAAGGATGTTTGAAAGAAGTTGTGTGAAAGGGTTAAAAATCAGGAGGAAAAAATAGATAATTTTGCGCAGTGTGACGAGTTAAAAGCTCAGATAAGAAAAGTTAAGGCCAAAATGAAAAACTGGGCGGCGATTCCGGCGAAGTGAAAGTGCGAAGTATGAAAAAAGAAAAACGGGCCAAAATAAATATAACACTCAATATGGCTCACCAACAAATTTAGAAAAGACGGTCCTGCTCGCTGCCATTTCTCAAAGCGTCGTCAGGTCGAGTTTCGTCGTAAGGTAAGAACGGCTCGGCCTTCGAATTGGGGAAAAACGGACCTTTAACGCTCGCTGTCGCACGAGAACCGTCTGCTCTGCCGTCTGGCCCAAATCAGGGATTTTATCAGGTTCCTTTTTTTCCCCCCGGTTCGTCCTCGAGTGAAAGTCTGCTGGTTTGGGTTGCACTGCCAATCTCGGACTCCCCGACCAGCCGACCAGCTGATCACGACCGTGCCGCAACTCCAAGGCGGTTCGCCTCCCTGGCACGATTTTCCCCTCTTTCCTACCAAGACGGAAATTATTATATAAAACATTTATTAATCCATTTAAAAAAAATCCCTTTTAAGAAAAACTATAAAGCTTTCTATTAAAATCGATAGAAATTTGGTTGACTGTCGCGAAATAGGGAAATTTACTGGGTGTCGATAATGGGCACATTTTCGTCAGTCTATAGAACGACTCTAGTGATTGCAGTTGTCGCCAAATTTGAAAATTTTGTCTTATTTGATCCCATCATAAAACTATCATTATTACAATTTTGCACAAAATAAATTGTTACGTGTAAATATGTACATATAATTAATAATATTATATATATAATTTTGCACTCTCAGGGCAAAATATTAATTAATTATTTTAATTCCGATGAAATTTATATAAATTAATGTATTGATTGTCCAGCTACATTGGAATTACATCGCAATATCTGGAAAAAGTGAAAAAACAACACATCTATGACTGTAAGACACCAAAAACCAATCCCACAGCATTAGTCACACACTATTTTAAAAAACAACACAACTTTGATTTCGACAAAATACAAATACTAAATACGAATAGAACAAATACAAACTCAACTTTCTAGAAAAGGTTTACATCAACAGAAAGTCACAAACACGCAGGACATTAATTACAGAACAGATGCATGCAAACTCAGCCGTAGTTTTATATTTTCCTTTCCTTCGTTTAATTAACTTCCTTTCCAATATTGAATAACCCCGAAACACAAATCCAATCCAGAAAACCCCCATTCTCAACTTCCTTGTGTTAAATAAAACCACCTTTGATCAAAGAAAATTTTAAAAAAATTCCAATCAATGTATGTTTTGCAATTTACACTGAATATGACCCGAATATAGGTCGAAATGTCGGTAAAAAAAAAATGAAAAAAGGTGTTTTTCTAAACTAATTTATCCTTGACCGCTCCTCACGACTCCAACAAATTATTAATTATATTAATATCTATTAACAAATCAATTAATTTGACGTTTCATGGAATATTTGGTCAATTAGTATATAATTTTTGTTTTATTACATAATTATTAATTGATTGTGTTTAAGTTATTTCTGAATAATTAATAGTATACGTAATAATTTGTTGGATTCGTGAGGAGCTGTCAAGAGTGAGGTAGTTTAGAAAAACACCTTTTTCGTTTTGTTTTTTCGGATGTTTCGACCTTCATTCGGGTCATCTTCAGGGCATAAAGTGTGGTGTTATTCTTGTGGTGTCAAATTTTGTGTGAAATTGTAAAAAACACACAGTATACATAATGTTGGTATAATAAGAAGGGAAACTTCCTAATACTCGTTTCTTTTATAGCGATAATTAAGCTTTGTTCGTGTTCTTACAAAATCTATTGGGAAATTTATGTTAATGTAGGATTTTAATTACCCACAGGAGTGATCACTGATCCGAGGAGGAAGGGAGGAAGTCGCAGTGAGTGGGGAGGACGGGAGCTTTTGTCCGAGTACGGCCTCATCCCCGTCAGCGCCTAGACTCGCGAATGTCAGTGAACCAGACGGCTGAGGATGTTTTTTGTTATCGTTCATTCGTCGCGTATCCAGAGTGAAATTGATGCCGTCGTCTAGTAAAATTGTCTCGGGCCGGGCGACGGGTGCGCGTTCTCTCTCGTCCTGGGCTTAGTTGCCGTCTCGAGGCTCGTCGGCGGGGAAACGGCCGTCTCGCAAGTGGAGCCAGTTATGCGAAATAGTTGTCATTATGTGCGAAAATGGCGAATCGAAGGCCCACATTTTCAGTCTCGACAGAAACCATCTCCTCAGGCGGCTTGTCGGATCCTCTCAGGGAGCTTTTCGAAGCCTGTAAAGTCGGAGATGTCAACAAGGTGAAGAAGCTCGTCAACCCGTCGACTGTCAACGCCAGGGACACAGCTGGGAGGAAGTCGACCCCTTTGCACTTCGCTGCAGGTAATTTAATTTCGTCGTTCCCCTTCCCTCCTTTTTGTTTTCACTTTTCTTTTTGAGTTTGCCTGTTTCTGTTTTTGTTTTGCCTCTTTGTCCTTTTTTTATTCACGTAATTAATGTTAGGATACGGAAGGAAAGAGATAGTGCAATTCCTTTTAGCTGCTGGAGCTTCCATTCAGGCGAGGGATGATGGTGGCTTGCACCCGTTGCACAACGCTTGCTCGTTCGGCCATGCGGATGTTGTGAGGCTGCTCCTCGTCGCAGGCGCCAACCCGAACACGAGGGACAACTGGAACTACACGCCACTACACGAAGCCGCTATCAAGGGCAAAGTCGACGTCTGCATAGGTAACACTGAAACATATTCAAGTCTTAATTTCATTTGAGCCAAACTATAAATAGCAAAGTAAAGTATTAGGGGGATCGGAAAGTTTTTTACAAACAAGTTTTTATTTTTAATCAGTGATCATCCTCATTATCAACAACCTTTTGCCATCTCATGGGCAAATTTTCAAAGCAGAATTGTTAAAAATCAATTGGGTTTTGAGCAACATATCTAGAGATGACATTTTGGACATCGTCCAAATATTCAAATCTTTGCCACTTAGAAATTGTTGTAGAAATCGTAATAAATGGAAATCAGATGGTGCAACATCGGGCGAGTATGCTGGGTAATGCAATACCTCCTAATCTTTGGTGTTTGTCTTGTGCAGTATGGTCTTGCTTTACCTCGTTGCAGAATAACCCCATTTTTTTGGTTTATACTATCATATTACCCATGATTTCTTGAAGTAACTACTGTGACCAGTGTGAGTGGCAAATACTCCATCTCAGCGGCCACCGTCCTACCAGAAAGGAAGGGCGGGGAACTCTCTTCTCTCTGTTACATTACTGACTGGATGAACTCCTCATTGGAGGACGTGGATAAAAACCGTCTAGACACCATGGAAAAGTCCATGTCCTCGAGGTAGGACATGCCCTGTTCCTCTTCCAACCATCCAACCAATACGCTGAGACCTGGCTCCACCACTGTCACCCCCTTCAACAACTCTACACCAACTACATATTTTTACATTACCATTCGATCACACCTCAATCTTTTACGGATTGGTGGAGTAGGTTGTGGATTTCCTTCCCACTCATCAAAATCTGTGCTACTGTGCTATTGTGTTCTTGGATGGTCGACCAATGTTGGTTAAGAGTGTTTGACAGTTCCTTAATTGTCTGACATGGATTTGCTTCACTTTCATCCTAATTTTACTTTCATCATTGTCCAAAGTTGTTGGTTTTCCTGGTGAGTATAAGTCGAAACTATCAAAATTACCAGATTTGAACTTAGAAAAACACCTTTGGCATTTACGAATGTCTGTGCACTTGGATAAACATCGCAAATGTTTTTTATAGCAACTGTTGTGTTATTGCCCTTGTGAAACTCAAAAATCATACAATGCCGGATATATACCTCTTCTGGCTGGCCATTTCACCATAAATTGCAAAGAACTTTAGGATTCAGTTATTTACGAGTAGACAAGTCATTCTAACCTTAAAATGTCTTTGGCACTACTTTCAAGTACACAAAGCTGATAAGTGACAAATAAATATTGACAACATTACTTCTGGTTGCCCTAATAATTTCCTGTTATACAGGAAGGTGCTCAACTACCAATTCATGGATGAAAGGTCAACACCACTTTACATTACTTTTTCATATTATTTTTTAATTAAAAAGCCATGGGCTATGTCAAGATTTGAAACCAGAACCGTCAGACGCACTAACAACTTGACCACTGAGGTCCCATGTCACTGTAACATATTTTCAATTCTTAATCTCATTTGAGCCAAATTGTAAATTGTACAATAGTAACTTCCTCTCGGCCACCATGGTCCCATGTCGCTGCAGCATATTTTCCACTCTTAATCTCATTTGAGCAAAACTGTAAATAGTAACAGACATGGGTTCAAACCACTTTTTTTTAAACTAGTTCTTTAACCCATAACACCTGCCAATCCTTGACACATTTGATTAGACTGAAATATCAAAATGGTAATAATGTTTCATTTCTTATCACAAAATGCTTTATAAATTTAGATACAAGCTAGAACAAATTTAACAAAAATATAACAGAATTTAAGATCTTATCTGCCTTGCAATAGTCATATTATTATTTTCATTTTATTTGAGATTTTTTATAAATATTACATTTTATAATAAGCAATAAATATAGCTATTAAACTTGATAAAGAATGATGTTGGTGTTGCCAAGCTTTATCAGTTGAGTTTTTTTAATTATTTTTCTTTAATATAAACATGACAAAAAATTAAATTTGTTGTTTACAATTAAAAATGTGATAACATTTTGTCATAATCAAGAAATTGACGAAATGCTTGTACAGTATCAAGAAGTGAAACAAATTACTTGAAAGTTTTCAAAATTAATAAAATTAATCATCCAATTCAGACAATTAAATTGTCAATTTTTTTTTAATTGTGTAAAAAAAGTGTTAAAATTATTGGATGGTTATCAGGAATCGACAAAATTCTTGCATAAGTATAATGAAATAGGTGAGATTATTGGATAATTATTAGGACATTTATCAAATACTTGCACAAACTTGTGAAAAAATTGGCCAAATTATTAGTTTTACCCAAATAATTGACATTTATAAGAAAATTGATAAAAATTATTGGTGCATTATCAGGAAATTGCTTAATTATTGGGCAATTGTGAATAAACCAATCAAATGATTTGATATTCATTTTTTTAAAGCAAAATAAATCTTCATATTGACACTTAATAACTTTTTTTAATTAGAATTAATTTCAATGTCCTAGCATATATTATCTTACAAGAAAGCATAAAGAAGGAATGAGTGTAATATTTGTTTATAATTTTTTCATGTTACATAACTACAGTAGTTTTCTCTTTTTATGCTTGTTAATCAATTCAGTTTGTTAATTTAGTTTTGTTTTTATCTGGATGTCATTTTTGCCTTACGATATTTATTTATTATATTGGTTTTATAATACAAAAAAAGGCGATGTTTTTGATTTCAACAAATTTTGAACACCAAGAAAATGGGAATACAAAATCAATGTAGGCTATCTGAAAAGCCTTAAAATGAATAAATTTGATAACCTGTAAAAACTTTCTGGTGTACGATAGGCCTTGTGCGGTGGGAACTTTGGACAAACTAAAATGTTGAAATATGGCAATTTCATTAATGACAATTACAATGTAACCATTTGTATATTTGAAAAGAATTTTTTAAAACTATTTACATTTTATGAACAATTTGCTCTAAGTAAAGAAGCTTGATTCAAAAATTCCATCTCAAAATTAAATAAACGTATACACAAGAAAGTAGGGCATTGAGCATTCTTGAAACAGTCTTACAAGCTGAAATGTTAAAATGGTACAGAATGTCACAAATGTAAACACTTTGTAGATTACGAATTTGATTTTTCCCCTTTAAATCGAAAAGGCTATTGATAAATAATCTATCAAGATTGATGATTTCATTTCAATCTAGAAACCTGATAAAAACAGGGGACATTATAATGACTTTTTACATTAAATACTACAAACATAATACAACTGATTAATAAACAACAAACTTTCAAGTAAAGAGAAATATTAAAATAAATAATTAATTAAATTTTTCTGGTGTGCTGATGATGTATAATAAAATTAAGAAACACAACTATGTTATCGTATTTTGTGAATAAAATGTTCTTACACATTAACTCTGGACTCGAAATGAAATTCCTTGCCATGTAAGAATATAAATGAACGATATACAAAACAGAAAAACCAGGGAGGAGAGTAAAACAAAATAGACATGCCTTTGGTGTGAACAATTAAACAAAGTTTTTGCATCAAAAAGCACATTCCACAGTAAACTAGTAAAAATGTGTTTTTTCCTACTTTCATTAGCCAATAATTGAATAGATACAATCCTTTGTGGATACAGGCTTCCCCTATATTTAAAAATTATTAACAAATATATATACCTGGATCACAATATTAAAGCTTAAAATGATTAATGGTGGGAAGAAGTTATTGATAAGTCGACCCCTCCTCACGACAAATTATTAAACAACTAAATTAAAGTGGTAACAAAGTATAAACTCATAACTACAAAATTATTGTTGATTTTCTCTAATCAAATCTGAAGTTTTCTATCAGTTACATTCATGCATGGTATAGTCTTGGATTTATTAATTACAACCTTGTCTAACTATTGTTTTTTCATAAAAGTTTAATTGAAATGACACTAAGTTGTAAAAACAAAACAGTTATTTTGCTTTTTACTGATAGACAGTAAATATTAATCATTTCAATTAATGTGTAGAGATTAGTGACCGTTAATCGATAGTTATTCAGATATCGTGAGATGCGGTCGGGTGTGATGTAGGTTTCAGAAAAACATTTTCTTTATCGTGCCAACGTTTCGATCTTAATTGAGATCATCTTCAGGGCCTGGGATTAACAAACATTGTTTACATTTAACAAATACATTTAGGTGTGGAAAAGTGAATGTATACAATGCAAAATATATTTTTTATATTCAATCAAAGTATTTCTACTCACTCAAAGTGTTTGTCTTCTGTGTAATTGTGCCATTCTTGCGTGTCGTGTTGAGAGTGCCAGTATCGAAACGTTGGCACGATAAAGAAAATGTTTTTCTGAAACCTACATCACACCAGACCGCATCTCACGATTTCTGAATAATTATCGATTAACGGTCACTAATCACCACACATTTCAATTACTTATTCTTTTTATCTAAGGTCTTGGTTGAGATGAAAAAGTTAATGTCATGAGCGGGGTTCAAACCCACGACCTTCAGCACAGTAGTACGTCGCTGCTCTAGCCACTTGAGCTATCGTGACTAAGAGGTTAGAGCAGTGGTGTATTGAGCCAAAGTTGTGGTTTCAAATCCAGCTTGTGAAACTAACTTTTTCATCTCAACCAAGACCTTAGATAAAAAAGAATAATTAATTGAAATAATTAATGTGGTTAATTATGGATTAACTATTAATATTAACAGGAGTTGTATATAAATGTAATTGAAAACCAATTTCAATTTATGAAATGTCCACGGCAAGTGTTAACGAGATTTTAAACAAAAATCAAATTAATACATAGATTTCATCACATTTCAGCTTTGCTTCAACACGGTGCAGACATAACAATAAGAAACACTGAAGGAAAAACACCTTTAGAAGTGGCGGACCAGGCAACAAGGGCAGTACTCACTGGCGAGTACAAAAAAGAAGAGTTGCTCGAAGCAGCCAGAACGGGCAACGAAGAACGGTAATTTATTGGCAAACACTCAAAATTTTTCATTTGTTCATTAATTTTTTAAAATATAGGCTATTGGCTCTGTTGACACCTTTAAATGTGAACTGTCACGCCAGCGATGGCAGGAGATCAACACCACTTCACCTTGCAGCTGGTTACAACAGGAACAGAGTGGTCCAACTACTTCTTCAAAATGGTGCTGATGTCCATGCAAAGGATAAAGGGTAAGTTTTTTAATTAAATCATAATCGATAGAAAACATACAGGGATTTTTTGTTTAGTGGTCTAGTGCCATTGCATAATGCGTGCTCATATGGTCATTTTGACGTGACGGAGATGTTGGTCAAGGCAGGTGCTAATGTCAACGCAATGGACCTTTGGCAATTTACTCCATTACATGAAGCGGCTTCGAAATCCAGGCTTGAAGTCTGCTCTCTGCTTTTGAGCCACGGTGCCGATCCAACGCTGCTCAACTGCCATTCGAAATCTGCGATTGATGCTGCTGGAACCAGAGATCTAAGAGACAGACTAGCTTGTAAGTTTTAAACTTTAATTAAATAATATGAACTTAGTGCACATTTTTAAAATCAAGTGCAAAGTTATTATTCGAATTTTAACTTTTTTAGATGAATACAAAGGTCATTACCTCCTTGATGCATGCAGACAAGCTGATCCTTCAAGACTGAAAAAATTTCTTTCATCTGAAATAGTTAATTTTAAGCATCCTTACACTGGGGATACACCATTGGTAATTAAAATATTCTGACTAATAATAAAAAAATCACTAATTTTTTTCTTGAAATAACGTAGCATTATGCAAGTTCATCTCCTTTTGCTAAACGAAAACAAGTCATCGAAACATTGGTAAGGAAGGGTGCACAGCTTAATGAAAAGAATAAAGAAATGCTAACACCTTTGCATGTCGCCACTGATCTCGGAAACCATGACATTATGGACACGCTACTGAGGCTGGGAGCCAAGGTGAACACTCTTGATGCACTTGGCCAGACAGGTAAGACGGTTTATCTCTAAACTGTTTTAATTTACTGAAATGGTATTTATTTTCAGCACTGCACAGAGCGGCTAGAGAAAACAATGTACAAAGCTGCCGCATTCTCCTCTCGTACTCGGTCGACACGACGATCGTCTCCCTTCAAGGCTACACTGCTTTACAGGTTGCCGGTGAAAATGTACAGAAGATATTGCAAGGTAAACAGAGTATGTACCCAATTGGAATACTAACACGTTTGTATTATCAAAACAAAATTATTCTATTTCGAAAATTTTCTTTTAATTTTTTTCTTCTCTCTTTCTTAAGTACAATGTAGAAAATTTTTATTCCCTTTATATTTTTGTTTTGTTTTGCTGAATACATTCTTTCTGAAGAAGATTTATGCTGAATAAAAAATTTCCTTCAGTTTTTTTTGTATATTTTACTAATATTACTTAATTATTTTTGCTTTACCGTGCTTGAAAAAGTTTTGAGAGCATTGTTTGATTTTACATGCATATTCAAAAAAATTCATATTTTTAATGCATAACTTAACATAAATTATTGCAATAGGCATAACTTAAATAATACACTTTTTAATATAAATAGAATTTTTTTAAAATATTTTTATTTGCTTCTTTGTTTGAATAAAAACTTAATTTAATCTGTAAATATGTGTTTCTTCTTCTGCATTTATAATTATATATGAAGTTGCTGGTTGTGTAATAATACTTTAAACACACCTTTAGTGGATTTTTTGCTTCCTTTTACTGTTTAATTTTTTTAAATTAAATTTCCCAGTGCACCCCACACCGTAAATGTGCATTTAAACTAATAACTAAAGATCAGATTTTCATGCAGTAAAAACTTCCATTTTACACAGCATAAAAAATTAATAAATGTAAAAATTGGGGAAAATGCAGTTTTGTGCAATAACACCGAAACATGCAAAATATGAATAGCGTCACAAAAAATTTGTGATTTGAATTTCTGTTTTGGTTTCATTAAAATTAGAGTTAGCAATAAAATAAAAAAAATGCAATTGCACAGAAATCTGGTCTTTACTAAAAAAATTTATAAGCATGCTAACAATTTATTAAAAGTTATTTTCTACATGCCTTGAGTTTTGATCCTTCACTAATTAAATTTGTATTTATGTTTAAATTTACTATCAAATAAAAGGTGTAATACACTGTATTAAATGAAAAAACACTGGGATGTCACCAGTACTGCCAATATTATAAACTACCAATAAATTGATCATAACATATAATTCTTTTTGCTCTTCAATATAGACCTCCTTATAGGCAATTATATAATAATAAAAGAAAGGATTCAGTGCTCATTATTAGGCCAAAGTATTGCAAAATGTCGTTACCTTCAAAATTCATCTTTGCTCATTAACAGTAATTTTTCCTGTCCATTATTATTGGTTTATTATTTATTCGTATAGGCTAAATGGAATTTTAAATCATTTTAAATTTATCATCATCATTTTAAATCAAGAAATCATGAACAATGGGAAATCGTGTCTAGTGACATTTTCAAGCACGATTAAAGATTATATGTTATTTTCTCTGTAAAAAAGGTTTATATTCAAAAGTGGTTGTAGTTATTGTTTAATTGTTATTGGAGGAGAAAGCAAGCTTGTATATATTTTATTTTTTTAGTAAGTTCATACTTTATAAATCATGCATTACTGTAATGTGTATTTTTTATTACTTGAGTAGAATTTCAATATAAAATTGCATACTTTTGAAGTTAAAGTGTTTGTTGTATTTTTTTATACGTCCTAAATTTTTTCAAATCTTCTTTAATTATCCATGTATGTGTATTTCAGAGCCACCGGCAATATTGGATTTAGAAAATAAACTGCTTGAGGCTTCAAAGTCAGGAGATTTAGATCAGGTGCAGCGACTCTTGACCTCCTATCCGCAGATAGTGAACTGCAGGGATTTAGACGGAAGGTAATTAATTTGTCATAATCCCCACTATGTTTGGAATTTTAATGAAAGTAGTCAGGTGATAAGCAAACGTTTGAATTAATTTTTCACGCACTAGTTGTTCAACAAAGTACATTGTGCAAATAAGAGTCAGTATTCACTGTTTTAAACACTTAAAGCACTTTTCCTTGCATTGTTTTTCTTGTTGGTATCTTTATCTCGTAACACACAATTCTAGGCACTCGACACCGTTGCATTTTGCTGCTGGCTATAACCGAGTGGCTGTAGTGGAATATTTGCTTTCACACGGTGCAGATGTTCACTCTAAAGATAAAGGGTGAGTATTTCTGGGCTTTTGAGATGAGTTTGGGTGTGAATTGTGACAGTTTACAGTGCCTCTTGGTAACTGGCGAGGACTTGAAACTTTTATAATTTTCAGGGGTCTTGTTCCGTTGCATAATGCCTGCTCTTATGGCCATTATGAAGTGACTGAAATGTTGGTCAAGCATGGCGCTAATGTCAATGTGGCAGATTTGTGGAAATTCACGCCTTTACACGAAGCCGCTGCAAAAGGAAAATATGACATAGTTAGACTGTTGCTACAGGTAATATTTTCAAAACAAAACTTATTTACAATTAGAGGTGATTCAATAATTTTTTTCTCATAACATTACACTAAAAAAAAGGTATAATTTTAGAAAAACTTTCAAAATTTCAATCAGTTTTATGTAAATGTAAGGAGTTATTTTTGAAGTGGGTTTTATTTAGTATGGGTCTAAAATTATGTATAAACAAGGACGGAGTTTTTAAATTTTTATACTAACTTGAACTTCCATTTGTCTATAATAATTATAGAACATTTAATTATTAACCTTTTCGGGGCTGATTTTAGGATGCTAAAATGAATTCCCCTGCATATATTCTCAGCCGTTATGTGTCTCCTCCATCCTGATTTTATTTTACATCGTGCATCAAAATTCAAAATGTTTTTTCCTCTTCTTGAAGTGCACCAATTCCTTTCAAGATTTGAAAGTACATTCCACAAATATAGTTTTCAATAGAAGTAAATAAATAAAAAGAGAAAAACGAAAAAAGTTGTATTTAATTGAAAATTTATTTTTTACTAAAAGTATTTTAGTACTTTTACTTACTTACACTTTATTACATTAAAGCATAACAATAAATTAACGGGATGAAAAACTCTTGAGTTTTAATTTAAGAAATATTTAAATTTGATGGTTTTTAAGAAAATTTACCAAAACACCGGAATATCATTTAGTGATAGAATAAATTGTGATCAAATTTTGATAGATCACTAAATGATTTTCTGGTGTTTTAGTTTAATTTTCTTTCAACTCATCATATAATTTTTTTTATTAAAACATTAATTTTTGAGCTCATTTAATTTGGTGGTTTATATAAAAATAAATATGTTGAAATTAATAATTTTTTTAAAAATCTTTGAGTGTATATAAATAAGGACAAAAAAAAATATATATTCAGAAAATTACTGTGAACGTAAACAATGTAAAATTAAAACTGAGAGCAGGTAAGATGCGAAAAATCAGAGACAAAAGGAAGAATAGAGAGTTGTGAAGTTATTGTGGCTAAATGGTTATACCAAAAAATTATTGTCGCAAATTTCACAAAAGTTTGAGAGATGCCAAATTTTGAACAGAAGGAGGAGAAAAGAGTGGTTCGCTAAGGATGAGGACGGGAAAGGAAGGGTTCATTTCCTGACGAATGTTTGCTACATATTGTATACAACCTATGCCGTGAGGAATCAGATAAAATATAAAAAAAAAAAAAAAACGTAATAACGATACAAGGCTTGTGGAGCCTCCAAGCTCGAAAGAAATAACTCGTCACAAGTCCTGAAAAGGTTAATCTCAGTGTATTTGTATTTTTTTGTAAAGGTTCTTTTCATTTGAAATTAGTATATGGAATCAATTTCTTTCTAGCAAACAAAATTTTTTAAATTATCACACACCTTGTTCTCGCATAATAAATACAGTCTGAATTATCATTCCTNATCATATAATTTTTTTTATTAAAACATTAATTTTTGACTCATTTAATTTGGTGGTTTGTATAAAAATAAATAAAAACTGAGAGCAGGTAAGATGCAAAAAATCAGAAACACAAAAGGAAGAATAGAGAGTTGTGAAGTTATTGTGGTTAAATGGTTATACCAAAAAATTATCGTCGCAAATTTCACAAAAGTTTGAGTGAGAAGCTAAATTTTGAATAGAAGGAGGAGAAAAGGGTGGTTCACTAAGGATGAGGACGGGAAAGGAAGGGTCCATTTCCTGCCAAATGTTTGCTACATATTGTATACAACCTCAGCCGTGAGTAATCGGCTAGAGCTCTTAAAATGCAAAAAAAAAAAAGAACGTAATAACTTGATACAAGGCTTGTGGAGCCTCCAAGCTTGAAAGAAATAACTCGTCATGAGTCCTGAAAAGGTTAATCTCAGTGTATTTGTATTTTTTTGAAAAGGTTCTTTTCATTTGAAATTAGTATATGAAATCAATTTCTTTCTAGCAAACAAAATTTTTTAAATTATCACACATCTTGTTCTCGCATAATAAATACAGTCTGAATTAACATTCCTTTATAATTTTTTATTTATTTATTTATTTTTTATTCAGCATGGGGCAGACCCGACAAAAAAGAACCGCGATGGAGCCATGGCGGTTGAGCTTGTTAAAGAAGGTGACCAGGAGGTTGCTGATCTTTTGAGAGGGAATTCAGCCCTGCTCGATGCCGCAAAGAGGGGCAACTTGGCACGAGTGCAACGGCTGGTTACACCTGAAAATATTAACTGCCGTGACACCCAGGGCAGAAATTCGACCCCTCTACACCTAGCAGCCGGTTACAACAATGTAGAAGTTGCTGAATTCCTTCTCGAGAACGGAGCTGACGTCAATGCGCAAGACAAAGGAGGACTCATCCCGTTGCACAACGCGTCATCGTACGGCCATCTGGACATTGCTGCACTTCTCATCAAATACAACACAGTCGTGAACGCCACCGACAAATGGGGTTTCACGCCTCTTCACGAAGCGGCCCAGAAAGGAAGGACTCAACTTTCCGCCCTACTTGTAATTATTTAATTTATTCTTTAAAAATTGAACAAAATAAAAAATTCAAATTTTTTTAGCTGGCTCATGGTGCGGACCCGATGATGAAAAATCAGGAAGGACAGTGTCCGTTGGAAGTGGCGACTGGTGAAGATGTAAGATGTTTGCTTCAAGACGCAATGGCGGCTGTTCCTGGTGCGACAACTCCTTCGTCACTGCCGAGTCTCCAACTTCCATCGCCAGTCGTTACTGATTCCATAATCCTACCCAGTGGTGCCTGCCTCTCGTTGGCATCTCCTGTGGCTATTATGCACAAGGGTGATGGCGCAACATCACCACATCTTGTGCCCGAGTTTAAACACGACCCTCATGTCACTTCCTTAGCAGGCTTCCTCATGTCGTAAGTTTAAGTTATATATAATTGTTTAAACATATTAAATGTATAATTACCTCAATTAAAAATCACTCAGAATCAAAACTATCGCTACTGTCTTTTTACATTTTTTAATATATTATGTAAATAAATTCTTTGATATAGAAACTTTTTTACATATTTTCATTTTGTATTAATAGAACTTTTTTTTTTTAATTTTAGTCTCGGACTGGAGCATCTTGTCGAGCCTTTGGAAAGAGAGCAAATCACGCTTGATATTCTGGCAGAAATGGGCCATGAGGATCTCAAACAGGTCGGCGTGACGGCATATGGGTATCGACACAAGATAATCAAAGGGATAGAGAAAATACAGCTCAACTCAGGTATAAGATTGACCATCTATCGATATACAATTTTGTGGTGACTATTTTTTTTTTTAATTATTATTTTTTTGTTAGATTTATCAGGACCCAATTGGCAACAAGGTACACTACTTGTAGATTTACTGAGAGAAGACAAAGAGTTTATAGCTGTCGAAGACGAGATGCAGAACACGATTAGAGAGCACAAAGACAATGGGCATTCTGGTGGAGTTTTCTCTAGATATAACATTATTAGAGTATGTATTTTTCATTTTTTATATATTTTTATTTTTTAGGTACTTTAGTGTTTATTTTTGTTTAAAACTGCCAAACTAGAAAGGAATGTTACTTTTTGTTTTTACGTTTAACACATTATTGTCAACTTGGTATTTTTTCTCAAAACTTTTAGTACTTTTCATTGTTTGATGTTCAAAATACTCTGAAACGTGTTAACATGCTGACACCTCCCTGAACGGACAATTCTGATTCCCTGATTTTTTCCCATTAGTTCACATTAAAATATTCTATAAAGAAAACACCCCTAATGACAGGTGCGGGGCAGCACTTCCAGAAAATGAACATTTTCTTAGAAGCACCGTTTCCTGTACTTTTTGTTCGCTTTCGAAATTTTCCCAATATTCCTACATTTCGATTAACTACTTTGCAAACATATAATAACTTCTTCAGTGCGCTTGACACTTAAAGACAAAATTAATATACTTAAAGTGAGTAAAAGAGAAAAACAAGTGTGTGAGATTTGGCTGCAGTTTTCTATTGGAAAGTGAAATTCTATAGAATAAAAAGTAACTTTTAAATAAATTTCACAACCAAGGGAATCCCACCAATTTTTTTTTTCTAAAAGTTTCGTTTGGCTCTAATACCAGGACGTATTAGAATGGTTTGCCGTGCTCGGGCTTGTAGATACCACTGTCTAGTTTGAAAAAAGGCCTAAAAAGTTGCAAAATATTTAGGACAAATGGATTGCTAAACTTCTTTAGGTTAGCTCAACGAATTTAGAAATCGGCATAAGATTTATTTTAAAAACATAAGTGGAGTGAAAGACCGAGTTTGTACAAAACGATGGAAAAACTCAAACATTGTTGCGCTGATTTTGAACCCAAAAACATTTTTGGGGAGACAGCTCTATTTTTTAGAACACTTCCGGCTAACTATGCCATTAAAAAATGAGTGTTGCCACAAGAGATATTTCAAAAGAGCGTTTAACTTTGCTCTTATGTAAAAATAGCTTGGTGAATTTGAAAAACCCTCTGGTCATAAAAAATGAAAAAATCCACTGTTTCAAAGGTATCGATATATTGTAATCCCTATTGTGGCCAATCTTGTAAAACTAAACGTTTTTTTCTCTCTTATCTCTGAAGCAGACATCTCTACAAATGACAATGTTTCATTCCCTAAGAGTGTCCATTTTAGGGGAGTACATAAACTGTATACATAAAAAACTTTCCAATAAAATGGTGATCTAATTTATTGTAAAATAATAAATAATTACTTTGAGTCACTGAAAAAAATCTCTTAAGACAACTTTTTGTATTTTCCTAGACTGACTTGTATGGTGTACAACTTATAAATTTTATTAAATCGAAATCTTATCTTTATCTCAGAACCTAATAAATAAAAAATACATTTCTATGAGGTCTAAATTATTTTTAAACTGCTAGGTGCAAAAAGTGCAGAATCGAAAACTTTGGGAAAAGTACACCCACAGAAGAAACGAAGTTGCTGAAGAAAACAGTAATTCATCCAACGAAAGAATGCTATTCCATGGATCTCCTTTTATCAACGCCATAGTTCAAAAGGGCTTCGATGAAAGACACGCATATATCGGAGGAATGTTTGGCGCAGGTAAGTCTAATAATAAAATCTCATTTGATGAATTTACATGAAATTTGTATGATTATTATTATTATACCCTTCAGGAATTTATTTCGCTGAGCATTCTTCTAAAAGCAACCAGTATGTTTACGGTATTGGTGGAGGGACTGGCTGTACGACTCATAAAGACCGATCGTGTTACACCTGCCATAGGTAATTTCTGATAATATTTCTGAGAAAACAACTTTTGACGTATTTTATTCCTGTTTAGGCATCTTCTCCTATGTAGAGTAACCCTCGGGAAATCCTTCCTTCAGTTCAACGCCATGAAAATGGCACATGCTCCTCCCGGGCACCATTCTGTAATGGGCCGGCCTTCTTCAGGCGGGCTCAACTTTCCAGAATATGTCGTGTATAGAGGAGAACAGGTACATTTTGAAACGTCGATTTGTGGAAACGTAACATTAATTTTTTCTTTCTTTCTAGGCTTATCCAGAATACCTCATTACTTATCAGATAGTTAAACCAGAAGAGAATTCCGAAGTGAGATGAAATTTTGGCCTAATTCAAGTTTAATCGTATAATTAGCCTCTATTTAACTGATTAATTCATAAGGTGTTTCATCATCGTTTTTCTCGTTAAATAGAGAAGGATGTGATAAAAGGTTGTGAATTCATTATTTTATTGAAATCAGTCAATTTCTAATATTAGAAGTAATTTGAAAGCTCTATCTGTGACATCTATATTTTACTCTAATCTATAAAATGGAATTTTAAATGTTTAACAGAAATTTAAAAGGTTATATTTCAAAAGGGAAAGAAGATAAAACTATTTAATTAATATTTAAGAACTCGATGTAATTTTTAATAAACAAAAAGGGGGGTGGGGTTTTAAAAAATTCCATTAATATTTGTTTTAATTAAGAATAATTAAGAAATAACATTCCATCTCTTTTATTATAGGTTTTAAGCAACTTCCATTTTTGTGTTTTTATTGTCTTATTTAAACTATTTTATTTTTTAATTATGCATTATGTATTATATGTATATAATTAAAGCAATTATTAAAGTTTAAAAATATTGTTTTTTCAAGGCTGAAGAAAAAACCTTTTACTATTTTATTCTCATATTTCTTGTTGAGGTCTGCAAAGTGGTAAACCTGTAGTTTGATATCTGATATTAGTTTGGTCAGTACAGACGTGAGGGTATCAGCAATGACCTATTATTCGGGTGGTAAAATAAAGTAGTGCTTTTTAATAATTTGATCTTATCCCTTGTGTTATGAAGCTATTAAGTCAATAATATTGTTTTCGGGGGCGCGGTAGCCGAGTGGTTAGCGTGAGAGACTTCAATTCCCACCATCGCCTCTGGCCTTTTTTTTCACGATACCCTTCCCCCAAAACGAATATGCATAACATATTGTCTGGCATTGGCTAATATGCAGAGTACATAAAGCCATTGTTTTCTTTCTAAAAAAAATTTTTTTTGACAGTTTTGTTCAAAATATCGTATTTTTACTAGCTATTTTGCTAGGTGAAAACAAAGAAAAGGGAAATCTGCACCGCAGCTCACTGCTAGGGAAATTTGTGATGTTTATGGTGATGATGCTTTAGGAGAAAGCCCTGTCTGTAGGTGTTTTGCTGTTTTGAAGTGGAAATTTTGATTTGGACGATACAAAGTGCTCTTGTCGTCCTTCAACCGTTGATTAACATTTTTGTCACAAATCTTCATCATGACACAAAGCATCACAGGCACTAAATATATCACATGTAAGTGTTTCAACATATGGATATTTTTGTCAGAGGAATATATGGATTGCTTACGTGCTGACTGAGAAAAATTTATCGGACCGCATTAACATATGCAATTCTCTCCTAAAACACAATGGAGACTATCGATTTTAGTGTTGATTTGACTGAAAATGACTGATAACTGGGTATGAAAGAACTTGACAATGTTAGAGAGGAAAATCTCTACCTGTTAACAATTCCCAAAAGGCGGCTTATGCCCCAAGAAATAATGTTGACCATTTGGTGGGATGGAAGGGGCTGCTATATTATGAAATTGTCCCACCCAACCAAACCATTAATTCTAGTGTATGCTGAGTGATTAGAGTCAACAATTGACCAAAAACATTAGCTTTTCTACCGTCGTTTCTTAACCTAACATTAAGGTTTTCTTTCTACTGCCGAATTAGAAATTGTTTGTGCTTGGCTGGGATGTGCTACCCCACTCACCTACCATATTTTCGCATGACATTTTCCCTTCAGATTTTTGCTTACTCTGGGCTCAGCAAAACTTTAGAAAATACATCCACGAATTCATTGCTCGAAAACCTGAAAAATTCATGGATATCCAAATTACATAAAGATTATTCATATATGTTGATTTAACTAGGTTTACAAATGCCTGAAGTTTTCATTGATTGCACCGTTAAAAAAAAATACAAACTTATTTAACAACCACTATTTTATGTAATATAACACATAACCGGCTGCTTAAGAGTAGATACCATGATGTTGGTACGCTCACTTTTTCAAAACTATTGATTTTTAAGAAAGAAATTACATATTTTTTGTAATTATAAATACATGAAGACGGGGAGAAACAGAAATGTGACAAACTAAAATGGCGAGTATATGCAGACCAAGGTGATGCATAAAAAAAATTGTCTTAATAATTTATTTTTCTAAATCTAAGCTGGGAAACACTGACATTTTCTGGGAAATTGTTGTCAGTGTATTAATTGTATTTTTGATAATGGTATTTTTATAAATTTCATATTATTAGTAAAATGAATCATACTTCAGAGTAATTTAAACCACCAAAGAATTGGAATAAATAGGTTTTTATGACAAATATAAGATAATTGTTGGTAATTTTAAACATTTCCATCCAAATAAAACCAAAACATTTTCTTGATATTTAAAGATTTCTCGTTGAGGTTTTCAGGGCGATCCACCTGTAGTTTGATCGTTTCGGAATATACAAACTCACCAGCCATCTTTAGAAATGTGTCCGATAGATCAGAAATGATCAAATTAAAGTTTTTCAATAGCTAAGAACTAAATATTCGTAGTTAGCGTCATCTAATGTCACAGCCTTGATTTGTTATATTGCTCCCTTTATGCTAATTATGTGTTTTATAACCTGACTGTGAATTAACTTCGAACCCTGCCACATAATCATCGTTACATCTTAAGAAATAATGATTATTTGGAGATTGTGAGATGCGGTCTGGTGTAATGTAGGTTTAAAAAAATATTGTGTCAACGTTTCAATCTTTATTTAGATCATCTTGAGTGCTTTAAGAAATAACAAACAATTAAAATTGGTATATAAAAAGTTGGTGGTGGGGTCTGTGGAAACAGATTGAACTGGTTGACATTGGTCAATTCAACAGTTAAATTTTAAATTTAGATTACATGAAAGAGCTTGGTGGACAAATACATTTTAGGGTTAATACGCAGTGCAACTGTCAGCCACATGGGCTTATTTTTTTTTTTAAAATTGGGTAAATAAGGAAACAAGTGACTGATTTATAAGACCAGTATATACAATTGTATTTAATAAAATAATACAATGCAATATACAATGCTTGTATAAATAAATTTAGCATAAATAGAAATAGCCTTATATAACTCATTCTTATATAACTCACACATATATATTATATATATATAATTGCACATTGATCACGGCACAAAAATATCTCCTCATTTTAACTTTTAACTTTCTCCCCAATTGGAACGTTTTTTTTTTTTTCTCCCCCTAATTAAAACTACAATATCACAAATTGAATCTCCTATTTTCCGAGTTCTAAAATATTGTTTGCCAGGGGATTTAATTATTGTTAAAAAGAAAATAAATGGTATCAAATGGTAACTAGCCGACGCATGGAAAAAGGCGCCTATAAAAATAAAGCTTTTATGAAATTAAATAATACCTTCCAAGCTTAAAACTCGCTTTTCGACAATCATGCTTTTCTATCAACAGTCTTGTCAACTGGAATGTTTAATTTTTTTTAAAGAAATCCACATGTCATTTTGGAACGTCTTCGGGAAGAGTTGATCTGAAAAATCAAATTTTATTAAATACACACAATGATCGTTTCAATTTGTCCTCAAAACCATACCATCGAGGATTATCTTCATCATCACATTTCAACAGTTTCTCTCCCAATTCCTTTTCAACTTCGCGATAACCTATCAGCTTAAGATTGTCTATGAAAGCTTTTTGTACGGCGATTCTTAAATCCTGTAAAGTTGATCGCTAAGGAATTTTTAAAAACAATTTTATTTTATTTAGTTTCATTTTTTGTAAGCCTTAAAAAAAAGGATATTGTTTATTTTCACTCCAAAATGTATGCAGGACATGAGGAGCAGGAAGGCCTGAGGCATTCGGCGCTGATTGTAAGAGATCTGTATAGCCAACTCGAACTGCATCTGCGATAGTTGGACCAATACAGCTGAAAACTTTAAGAACCAATTATTAAAACGTTGACACCTCATCGGTGAAAAAAATCCTTACGCTGTCACCCTGTGTCAGAAGGTGCTCAGAAAACTTGCTCATGATTTCTAGAGTTTCAGCAGGCGGAAGGATTGATTTGGCCAGCCAGACAGCAGAATCCCACATGCCGTACGAAACCAAATATTTACAACCAATGAGACCTTTACCGATCAAGCAAAGCAGCTGAACACCTTGAAAATAAAAATAATAATTTAATTAACACAATTATACCTACAAATATTTTCAGAAAATGTTTTTTTCTTTCTTTGTTTAGTCTTGTTACTTCCAGATTTGTTGGTAGTTCTTGGTGAATTATCATTTTGTGAATTAAACTTAAATAGAGTGGCAGTGGATTTTTCTAGATCCAGTCGTAAAAAATACTTATTTGAAAATATTTTTTATTGATTAAAGTATAAATCGTTAAATTACCTTCCCAAACTTTCCCGTTTGCGATCAAATTTGTTGCAACCAATTTAATGGTACTTTGAGCAGCTCCAGTTTGTTGGATTGTTGCTACAAGGCAAGCTCTGAAAACAAGTTTAAATATCAATTTTAAGTTTTGAAATGACCAAAAATTCAAAAATTTACTTCATGGCGTCGCTATAATAATTAGGATTGTCAATGTCTGTTTCCAAGAGGAGTTGGACGGCCCGGTCTGTTTCTCCGAGCAAAATCAACTTCTCGACGACTTTCTGTGTGTATCTATAATCGCCTCGCTTCCACTCGTGAAGACTCACCCTTTCTAACTGCCTCAACTATTTAACAAACAAAAATCTCAATCCTTTTTCATTATTTTATCTAAAAAAAAAAAAAAAAAAAAAACTGATTTGTTTATAATTTTCAGAATTTGACCTGGTATGAATATGAATCCATTAAATAGTCAAAGCACGTGTCGAGAGGCTCGATGTTGTTTATTTCATTGATGTTTTTAACGTTGGCCATTTCTTCATTTTTATTCATTTCCTGTTTGTTTTCACTGGATAATTGAAAATAAAAATAAATAATCTGTTGAGTAAGTAGAGTTTGCACATTTTTTTTAACCTTAGTTTTCTTGCAGCGTAAACTTGTAAGTAATGCAATGCAACAGCCCATAAATCGATTTCCTGCCTGTCCCCGAGCAGCCTGGCTAATCTTAAGCACTTTTCAGCAATGTTGAGATTTGGGAAATCTGAACCGATATCCAACAACGACAAAAATGTATTTATTCCTACAACAAAAATACATTCAAAAGTAAAACATTTAAAAAATTTATCAAGAATATAATTACATACTTGGAATGTATTCTGAAGAGATTCCTTCGTAGAAGTTGAAGCTTTCATAATTCGGCTGATCCTTCCATTGCTGAAGGCACAGAAGGAACTGCATGCTTTTTATGATTTTTGGCGGGAACAATGTCGGACTGCAAATTTCATCTGAAAATTCATTTTATTTTTGAAAATTATGTTTTCTTTGATAATTATCGTTGGTGGAACCTTTATGCCTGTAAGCCCAGGTCTGCGAAGCTGAGGAAATTAAATATGTGTCCAGTATTCTTATGGAACCATCCTCCATGGCAACTACGGGAAACTCAGAGTTTGCCCAGTCCACGTCGATTATCTTCGGACTGTCCTTGCTCAACTTGAAACTCGCTACTTTCTGGCTTGGATTAGCCTAAAAATATGTTCGCTTAAGTAATCGCATTTTTGTTTGTTTATAAAAAAAAAAGCTTACAGATTTGTCATCGATTATCTTGATTATCTCAAAACCATCGGAAAAGAAAACAAGAAGCTTCATGTTGAATTTGCCAGGTGCGAAACGAATGTACCGGATGGGACCACGGTTCATCGGTACATTCTTAGCCTGGCGTGTTTTCAAGTCCCATATTCTCAAAACACCCTCTATGTCTGCCCTGACCAGCTGATTCGATTTAAAAGCAATTGATATTATCGGCATGGAATTAACCTGAAAAAAATATACAATTTAATTTTTAATTTAATTTTTGAATAGGAAGAATAAAACTAACGGCTGGTATTTTGATTCCATCCTTGATCCCATCAGCATTCACGGCAAAATGGTACAGCTGACTTTCATTGTCAGAAATAACAAGATGTTCTTTTACCTGAGGAAGACCTGTAAAAAGAAGTATTTTTTCTCTTTAATCTAATTTCTCTGAGTTGATTCAATGTTTACTCATAAACTAAAGAATTGATAATTTTAATTCGCCTAACACCAGATACTTTTCGTGAAGTATTAAATGAATTCCATAATGGATTTTGCTTTGTATGGAGTTTGGTGGTGCCCATTTTGAAAATTTAATTGTCTAGGATTAACATAATAAAGTTACTAGGAGGTAATTGAATTAGTAATTAACTTAAAGTTACTAGGAGATAAATGAATGACCATTGAGATAAATAAAATTTGAACTGTTTTTGTTTTTTCAAACAACAAACTCTACAAGAAAAGTGTCCCAAGTAAAATCTTCGGTAAAAAAAAGTCATAGAATTTAATTCCGTATGCAAAATACTTTTAAAAAATACTCAGCCTTGGGGAAGTGCCATAAAAAATTATGTAAAGACTAGTCCTATTTTTTTATTATTATTTACAAACAAAAGAAATAAAATGGGGTTAGTATAAGTAATCACCTGGTATACTAGTTAGGAATCATTTTTTATTAAAAAATAAATAGCAGTAAATAGAAGTAAATAAAAAATGTTGATATTTATTGTGATCTCATATCATCAACATCCTAAACAGAATAGTACATCCACTGCTATATCAGAGTACAGTTGATTTCTGAATGAGTGGATGCTTTTAGCTTAAGCTACCTCACAATATTTGTGCACTATTAAGCTGACAAGAAAAGTGACAATTAGCCGAGCAAGGAGAGCACTGAATATTCTTATTCACCGAGCACCCGTCCTCACTAGTCAGGATTCAGCGCACCTTTGCTCGGCATTTGGCCAAATACGCATGTCTGGAGCCACCTTAAGGTGAACATATGAAATGTGTGATACATCATCGCTTAAAAAAAATATGGGTACTTCATTCTGGGCAGTTCCTCTGCCTCTAATAAAGTCTTTCTAACTTTCGTATTCATTAGTTTGCCAAAAGATTGTTAAAAATAACATGAAAATATTTTAAAGTAAAAAGCTGACAACACACGAGATTAACATTATGTTAATTTATTTTTAGACTCATTTTTGAGGTAAATAAGTTGTGAATATTTATGTGTAATTTGACATTTTATTTAATTATAAAAGTACCTGAATTTGTTTCTACTTCCTTTTTCGCCTGGACTGATTTTGAGCTGTAAATTGGTGACCATTCCTGAAAATTATTTAAAGAACAAATTAAAACTGCTTTTTACCTTGCAGTTTAGTCAATTCTGATCATCCTGCCTATCCTCAAGGTTTTGGTATGTCAGGCATTTAAGCATTTTACCATGTTCAGTGGTTTGTATTTTGCTAAATGACTCAATCCATTTTTGATAACAGCAAAATGTCAAAATGAAGGACCAAAAAAGCAAGCATAGATGGATAAGGATGATCAGAGATTATAAAACTACATTTATCACTATACATCAACAAGTCTCAGATTTTGTGCTATTAACTTGACATACCAGAGCTACGACTGTGGGAAACTTTTTTGTCATCGTCCTTAGTAAAGTCAAAGTTGATAGATCCCACAATTCAAACGGTCCGGAATTAATCGCAATCACAAAATATTTACTGAAAAAGAAAATACACCATTGTAAAACTTTTACCTTGGCCTAATACTTTTACTAGAAATGATCAGACTTGCAGCCGATTACAGAAAAAAATGATTTGCAAATAAAACAAGTCTCATCATATCACAAAAAACAAAATTACCTTAGTGGGGAAACCCTGACTAGATTGATAGGATTTTCATTGGACTTGTCTGTCCTAAATGGAATAGAATACCCAGTACAGATGTCTGTCAGGAACAGCTCATTTTTAACTTTTCTTCCATCAGAGTATGCGTAAGTTATCAGGCTGGTGAGATCCGTCCATGCGAGACCTCTCACTGGATAATTATGCAAGGCGAATTCTTTGTGAACGGTCCCTATAGATAGATTGTATATGTAAACATAACCAGTAGTCGTGCCCACAGCTAAAAATGGTATGTGATCGTCTTTGTTTTTGTTGGTCCTCGGAGGGCACATCTTGATTATCGTTATGTTCCCGTTTATGTTGGAAAGAACTGCCATGGATAGTAAACGGAAGTTCGAGTTGTCCTTGATCAAAATAGAATTATGATAAAATTATTAGTTAATAAAATTATAATTACTTACAGGGGTTTTTGGAGTGATCAGTTCGGTGATTGTTCTTGAAATGTTGTTGTTCCTGGGAGAAGCTTGTTCGAGTTCAAGAAAAATGATCTTACCAGAGCTTAAGAAGAGTGCTGAGTCAATGTGAAAATAATAAAGTATCAATGACTGAAAGGCTGACTTAGTCATTTAAAAGTCTCTTACCAATGTGTTTTTCACTAGAAGGATTCACAGATATCCCAAGGACTTTGTTGCTTTTCATTTGCCTCACTATTTCACTCTGGCACTTGTTTTCATAACAGACAAACATCTCAGTCGAATACGAGCCAAAATCTAATGAAAATCATATAATTTATTCGATTGGCAAAATGAAAAATATTTTGTAAACATTAAAATTACCCAATTTGGGACTCTCGGCAGCCGCGTCCATAGGTGATTTTGAAAGGGCTTGATGGTTCTTCTTTCTGATTTTGACACTTACACTTCCAGATTCGTGGAGGCAGTAGAGAACATCTCTCTGTCGGGCTGAATAAACCTGAAAATAACTTCGTAAATTTCATGGATAACAAAAACTGAAAGTTGATGTACCTGAATCAAAGGAGGCATGGTTCTCTCAACAGGGATGATGCCAATCATCTGGTTGATTTGAAGATCGATTAGAAGGATGTCTCTTGGGTACAACAAAAGCAAATGATGCCTCATTGATTTATGATATGAAAGTTGTAAACATTCTGATATAGTCATCGCTTCGTCTGATCTGATAATTGATATAAAAAAATATTAATAATGTTATTAATTAAACTTAATTCCTAAAACTCACTTTGGCTTTGTTTCACCAACTACAAGGCCCTTCATCAGTTTTTTCAATCTGTCCCTCCCTTTAATTACATCATCGGTCAAGGGTTCAGGGTGCGATATGTAAAACTTGCGACCATTTGACGCTGGTATTTTTCCAACTTGAAAATCGTCGATGAACAAAACGCAATCCGGGCACAGGACTGGAAAAGGAAAAATCAAAACCCTTAAATGGAAGTTTGAGTTAAGAAAACTCACATGCTATTTTCGTCCGGTCAAAAGGGTCGAAGCTAAAGCTGAGAAGTGAATCGGTGAAATTTTTCTTCCAAATCTTCGTCTGCTTTTTAACATCCCATATTATGAGAAAGTACGGCGAGTGAAGGGCAGCCGCAATCAAATCATTCTCGCATCCAGGAACCCACTCCAAACCTAAAATTTGAAATATAGTAAATATAAAAAAAAATAATAATAAATATCATGTATCACAGAACATCATAGATGTAGGCTTATAGTAATAAACCTTAGTTGATAATACAATAAGTTTATAAATTGTGTGAAATAGCATAAAATGTATAAAGGTTATATGAAAGGCCAGCCCTTGACATTAAAATGTTAATTGAATCAATTTATCCACCCTGATTTTTTTTCTATGTTGTGCTTCTTTACCCGTTTCATAACAATTATCATTTGGACATTTTAGATCAGAAATCAAAATGTTAAAATATTTAGAGTTAAACACTACAATTTTAAAATGTCATTCATTCTTCATAATTTGTAATTTAATATTACTTATTACCAATTACAGGCTTATTTCCGTCTTGCATTGCACCGAGTACAGTTGGAAGGGATATGTCCCAGTGGACAACATGGCCAGATGCATCCGATGTAATAAGCTGTATTAACGGGCTGGAGTCGTTTCTCACGTCTACATACGGTACCCAGAGGATCTAAAATGTGAAAAAATTGTAGAAATTTTTTTTTTAATGTATCAAGTTTTTTTATTACCTTTTTTACAACAGACTTGTGAAACTCTAATGTCTGCACAACTTGAACTGTCTTGGTGTCGACAACAAACACTGTGCAATTTGCCGCGTACGCCAAAAGCCCCTGACCATTCCTTAATAATAAAATCGTAACATTAATTACATAAAATATGCAATATTTTTTTAAATTTTGTTTGTCTGAGTGTGTTTTGTATGTCAGGTTTCATCAAACATATCCAGTTAACCAAACCAGTGAGGATAAGGAGACCAGGAATATCGAATATGACTAAACTATAACAACACTCTCAACTCTCAACACGACACACAAGGATGGCACAATTACACAGAAGACAAACACTTTGAGTGAGTAGAAATACTTTGTTTGAATATAAAATATATTTTGCATTGTATAAATTCACTTATCCACATCCTAAATGTATTTGTTAAATGTAAACATTGTTTGTAAATCCCAGGCCCTGAAGATGATCTCAATAAAAGATTGAAACGTTGGCACGATAAAGAAAGTGTTTTTCTGAAACCTACATCACTCCCGACCGCATCTCACAATATCTGAATAACTAAACTATAAGTTCATCACTCCACAAACCCAAAAACAATATTTTCCTAAAATTAAGAAACTTTCACAGTAAATGATTAGGTTTAATTAGCTATATAATATATAATTTATTATTAAAAGTTAAAAAAATCTGTAAAAACTGTTAAATTGTTAATAAGTAAATATCTGAGGAGAGTCAAGCTTCAACCATCATCAGTTATTTTTAGCCTCTTTCATTTTGCAAGTGATGACTTCGATCAACAAATATTAATGTAATGATTAAGAAAAATAATAAAAAAATTAGCTGATTTAGTTTAGAATATTAGAAGCAACTTTTAGTACATAAACTGAAAATATCAAAAGTAACTTTTAGCATATAAATGTAGCAGAAGCAACTTTTAGCATATAAATTGCAAATATCAAAAGTAACTTTTAGCATACAAATTAATATCAGAAGCAACATTTAGCATATAAATGACAAATATCAAAAGTAACTTTAAGCATATAAATGGACCATATCAGAAGCAATTTGTAGCATACTTATGGCAATAGCAGAAGTTACTTTTAGCATCTTAATAGCTAGTATCAAAAGCATTTTAAGCATATATTTTGCTGGTATCTAAAGTAACTTATCACATATAATTGGCTGTTACCATAAGCAACATTTAGCATATAAATGGATAATATTAGAAGCATCATATGAATGGCAAAAACAAAAGTAATTTTTTGTTAATTATATCAGAAGGGATTTGTAGCATAAAATTGCAATAGCAGAAGTAACTTTTAGCGTCTTAATAGTTGGTATCAGAAGTGTCTTTAAGCATATATTTTGCTGGTATGTAAAGTAACTTATCGCATATTATTGGCTGTTACCAAAAGTAATTTTTATCATCTTAATAACAATATCTTAAGTAACTTTAAATATACCTTTTGTATCAAAACCAACTTATTTGCCTGTTATCAGATGCGACATTTAGCATATAAATGGATATCAGAAACAGCATATAAATGGCAATAGCAGAAATAATTTTTAGCATGTTAATAATAATATTTTCAGCAACATTAAATATATATTTTGTTGGTATCAAAACCAATTTATTTGGCTGTTATCAGATGCGACATTTAGCATATAAATAGATAATATCATAAGCAACTTGGAGCATATAAATGGCAATAATAGAAGTCATTTAGCATATAGATGATAATATATTAAGCAACTTTAAAACTATATTTTACTGCCTTCAAAAGCAACTTTTAGCATATATTGTTGGTATCAAAAGCAACATTTCGCATATAAATGGTTAACGTGAGAAGCAACTTTTAGCAAATCGCTGGTATCAGAAACAAACTTTAGCATTTATTCAGGTGTCATCCAAAGCAACTCGTAGCTTATAATTGGTCGGTTTCAACCTTTACCATATAATTTGGCTCATACCAAAAGGCACATTTAACATTAATTAGCTGATAACAAAATTCACTTTGACCAAAAATTCAGCTGTTAGGAGAATAAACATTACCACATATTTGCCTGGCAAGAGAAGCTGTTCAGCATAAAGAAGGTATCAGATTACAGGAATTATTGGATCTTTTATCACTACAAAGAGCACCTATCAAAGTATCAAGGAACTATTTTGTATTTATTTTGATTCTATGCAACCAGATGAGATTTATATTTTCATTTGATCCATTATATTTAGTGGTCTGATTGACCAAATTATTTCTTTCAATTAATTATTCTTTGTATGTAAGGTCTTGGTTGAAATGAAAAAATTAGTGCTATGAGCAGGATTCGAACCCACGACCTTCGGCTCATTTCAACCAAGACCTTGCATACTAAGAATAATTAATTGAATGAAGTAATTCGATCAATCAGACCACTAAATATAATGGATTTAATAAGTAAAACAAAATATAACTTCACAAACAGCTCTCCGTGGCCACTTCATATGTCGCCGAGAATCGAATCCTGATTACACATTTGAAAAATGGCAAAAAGGATGGAAAATTCGAAAGGTTGTAGGTTGAGATGAGGAGTTGGTGTCCGAGTGGATCGAAGTCACGATAGCTCAAGTAGTAGAGCAACGGCATATTTAGTCGGAGGTCAGGGGTTCAAATCCTGCTCGTGACACTGACTTTTTCATTTCAACCAAGACCTTACATACAAAGAATAATTAATTGAAATTTTGATTTGAATTAACTTCTTATGTCTTTGATGATTTAAGAGGAAAGAACAGGTCTGTTTGTAGGAAGAATTTATGCGATGTTGGTATCAAATCGGCACTGTCAACACGACACACAAGAATGACACATCTACATGGAAAGCAAACACTTTGAGCCCTGAAGGTGATCTCAATAAAGATCGAAATGGCATGATAAAGAAAATATATTTCTAAAACCTACATCACACCAGACCGCACCTCACGATCTCCAAATAATCATTGGCTAATGGTCACTAAACACCACACATTGGTATCAAAATTTAGTGATTATTAAAAAATACTCTTAATTAAAAACAAAAAACAAAAGTATGTAACATGTAAGCGGATGTTGGACGGACGTTAGCTTTATTTCCATCCTTTGAGTTAAATGGAAGTTGGTGTGTTTTGCCTCGGCTGTCAAACCACCATAGTCAGGTGGTTCCTTCGACATCCGAGATGCCACGTACGCTCTCTGACAGCTACGGGGGCTTAACTCGCCCAGTTTTCATCCGTCCTTACCATTGGACCGCGCCTTTGTTCTGCAGAGAGGCGGTCCCGTTGACAGTCCTCGGCACGATCGGGTGGTGCGAGACGTTCTTCAGGCTGGATTCGGCGTCCTCGGCCGAGTCGACCGAAGGCTGGGGCCCGCTGCTGGCAGTGTCCACGAGGGATTCATCCCCCTTGTCCACTTCCTTTTCCATCAGCAGGACCAAAAGACGGCCTCACGCCCAAATCACGATTGATACACGTCGCCTGTCCGGCTCGACTTCATCCGATGAAGTTCACTTCAACTTTTGACAAGTCCGATCCAAGAGTCTGACTAACCGTTTACAAAACGAAGAGGAGTCTTTCCCTCCTTCCTCTCACTCAACGATCGATATACAAAAATCTAAACAAACTAATAATAATGTGTAGAGATTAGTGACCGTTAATCGATAGTTATTCAGATATCGTGAGATGCGGTCGGGTAATAATAATACTAATAATAATAACATTGCCTAAATACCACACAACTACAATAATAATAATAATTCAATTAATTATTCTTTTTATGTAAGATGTCTTTTTGGTTGGGATAAAAAAGTTAGTGTCAGGAGTGGGATTCGAACCTACAACCTTCGGCTCAATACGCCGAAGACTTTACGTGAAATTACGATAGCTCAGCAGCGAATTGAGCCGTAGGTCGTTGGTTCGAATCCCGCTATGACACTAACTTTTTCATCTCAACCAAAAGACATTACATAAAAAGAATAATTAATTGAAACAATTAACATGATCAATTAGGGCACTAAATATAAGTAGATTAATAAATAATGATAATAATATATTTTAAGGAATTAATCAAATTTATGAAAAAATGGGATGAGTTGGGTGGGAAGTTGGTGTTCGAGTGGATCAAAGTCACAATAGCTCAAGTGGTAGAGCAGCGAAGTATTTAGCTGAAGGTCGTGGGTTCGAATCCCGCCATATATAGATTAATAAGTATATATTTTTATGCATGTTGTTATGTATATATTGTTATATATCATATTAAACACTTTCCAATTTTATTGTATTAGAAAAGTTGGAGGTGAGTATTTTGTTTAACTTCTTTAAAAAATAGTCCCTACTAAAAAATTGGAAACAACAAACCGCAAGTAGGAACTATCTTTTAAAGAAGTATAAATTTTATTAAGTTTAAAGTTTTACTATTATTGGTGGTGTTGTCAGCCAGTCATCATTACAATGTATAAACAAAATTTAAAATGGTAGATTTTCTTATCAATTTGAAAAACGAAATTAAATAAGTTAGGGGGTATCGGTGGCACAACGGTCAAGGTAAAGGTCCCGGGTTCAAATCCAGTGGACCTGCATTTCAAGATGGAATATGACTAACCTATAGGTTCATTCAACAAACCCAAAAACAATATTATCTTAAAATTATAAAACTTTCATTGTAAATAAATATGTTTTAATTAGCTTTATTATTGAATATTCAATTTTCAATATATAACATATAATTTATTATTAAAAGGTAAAAACTGTATAAACTGTTAAATTGTTAATAAGTAAATATCCGAGGAGTCAATTCAGCAATGCTTCAACCATGATCAGTTAATTTTAGCCTCTTTGTCATTGCGAGTGTTGACTTCGAGCAATAAATATTCATGTTACAATTAAGAAAAATAATAAGAAATTGGCTGAATTGCTTATTCACAATTATTTAATGTAATGTATGACATTTTTAATGATTGTGAGGAAAGACGCTTGCTTTGTAGAGCAACTATTAGCAAATATTTGGCTGGCATTAGAAACCACTTTTAGTACATATATGTGCACGACAGTGTCATAAGCGGCTTTTAGCATATAAATTGCAAATATCAAAAGTAACTTTCAGCACACAAATTAATAATATCAGAAGCAAATTTTAGCATATAAATAGCTAATATCAAAGCAACATTAGCACATAAATGAGAAATATCAGAAGTAACTTTAAGCATATAAATTGCCAACATCAGAAGCAACTTTTAGCATATAAATGGCTAATATCAGAAACAATTGTTAATATAAAAAATATCAGAAGCAAAAAGCTGGTATCTAAAGCAACTTATTGCGTATATTTGGCTGTTACCAGAAGCAACATTTAGTATATAACTGGATAAATCACATTTGTCCTGCATTTGAACCCGACGTACTTACAAATGGGCTTTTTTTTTTTCAAAAACAATGGCACCCTGAGGGTTCATATATCCCCATAGTTGAAATGCCTTCGGGTAAAAAAGTGGCATCGCTCAGTTATGCCAGAGAATTTGCAGGAATTGATATACATGATGAAAATATTCCACAGCACTATAGTGTCTCAGAAGAGTTTCTTTGTTACATTTTGATATTTTTCCTCACCAGTCAAGGGTCTTTTTTACAATTTGGGTGCTAGGTGGAATCAATCCAAACTCACTTCTAATGTAGTGGTCTAGGGCGTTGAAAGGAAGGTGATGCAGTTGTTTAATGAAGCTTATCGGAAGTTTATTGATTTCTTCCATTGAATTAATGCCCATAGCTCAGCACCATAGAAATCAGGGGCATGCACTGCACTTCAATAAATGAATCCGCAAATAAAACTGTGCTATCTGTGAACAGAAGGCACAAGATGACATTGCAAGATCTCAAAAAAGAAACAAAATCAGACAAAAATATGGAAAACAGTAAGGGAGATAATAATTAGCAACAGTGATTGAGCTAAAGGCCATGGGTTCGAATCTGGCCTGTGACACAATTTTTTTCCTAAAAGAAAAAGTTGACACAACTTTTTCTTTTAGAAAAAAAATTGTGTCTTATTTAATTGAGTATATCATCGCAGATTAAACTTCCATCTTTTACTTCAGGAATTGAGTTTTTAAAAAGTAATCTGGATTTGAAATTAATTTAACTTATATATACTACACATGAAGTTTAATTTTGTAATCATTGCCTAGAATTCTGAAGATCAGTTGTCCAGTTTTTCATGAAGTTAATAAACTCTATTCTACAATATTTATTTAAAATAATATAATTTTGAAAAACTAATCATGTCTTGTGACCTTTTCTGACCAAACAATTTTGTCACGCTTCCAATAATAAAATTAAATGAGTACATGTTGACACAATCTTAACATTTTCAGACTGAATCATTAAAATAAAATTATATACAATATTATTTTTATTTTGTGTTTTTTAGATCAGTTGTTTAACAATTTATAAACCAGGATAAAATCTAGACAAAAAAAATTAAATAGGTGTAATTTGTAAATTAATTCCAATTAGCACAATCCTGTCTGTGATCATTAAAGGTATTGGTTTTGTACAAATTTTCACATTATTTAAACAGGTTTGGTAATCTATAAGCTAAACAAAAAATTAATCTTTACCAACAAATTATTATTTTTATTAATTTATTGGATTCGTGAGGAGTGGTCAAGGCTCTTTTATTTTATCTACGAGTTTCAGTTCCTTTTTTGCAACTGTTATCCCATTACAAGGAAATTTTTAGATATCTAAGGTTTTGGTAATGATTAATTTTGTGATTTTCAATTTCAAGATCCTCGATTTTTAATTTCATCTTCTTTTTTTTATAATTGCTTCCAGACTAAGCTTTGCCTTAAGTTCTCCTATTGTTGACTTGTGCTCCTTCACTTGACGCCTTAACATATCAATTTTATCCTCTTTGTTTGGTGACTCATCATCGTTATTGTTTTGCAAGCTTTCAGCTATTTCTTTCCACTTTTCTGTTTCTGTTCTTGGTTTGATCAACGATTCAGCAGTAAGGTGCAATTGCTGATTCAACTCATGTATATTGGTTTCTCGGGCCTGTACTCTTGAAACTCATTTTTCCATAAGCACAGAAACAGCTTTGAAATTGAAAATTGCTTGATGTTGGTGTTTGCAAGGCTGTCGCCTCTAACTGATTATTCTGATCAAGTAGCTTTTTTTATTCCTTGCTGTTTTCTTGAAGCATGAACTCACTCCTTTCTAACACTGTATTTCTGTTGGAATATTGCTTGAAGGCCTTTTGCAATTTCCTTCAGGATTTTTTTTTTTTTTACGCTTTAACAGCTTCGTTTGTTCCAATTTTTTCTTCAATCACAGACATGCCACTGTTTCTCCTTCTCTTCCATTCCTACTTTAAGTTTTCCAAGTTCCGTTCTATAATGTGTAAACTTTTCTTCCTGTTCTTTAATTTCTTTCAGTTCAACAGGTTCTTTTTTCAAAGCTTCAAAATGTCCATTCAATTTCTCCATGGTGCTTTTAATATCGCTAAAAAGTTCGGGTTTTTTTGCTTTCATTCAGTTCTTCTAAAACATTTTCTTTCTTAGACCTCATTTGCTCAATCACTGCATCAAGCATTTCCTTGTGTTTTTCTTAATCAAAATGTTTTATTAAATTTAATAAAATAAAATAATTTTATTAAATTATTTTTATTGTGTTATTGTAATGTAATAGTGATTGTTTTATATTTATGATTTTTTTTTATAGTTGGGATAATTTATATTTTTTTAGGATCTATAAATTTTTTTCGATTTTATTTTTTTAAATAATTGAAGAGGGGGTAATTAAAATGCCACGATGCAGCTAATCGTGTAACACAGCTCCTCGTTACTTCGTAACCGTGTAAACATCGTGTTACCAATCGGCCTGGAGGTTTTAGATTAAAACAAATTTATGATTTGTTCAAATTTATTGTTTTTCTATAGCTTTTAATAATATAATGTTGTAATTAAATAATTTTATATATGTGCGTATTTTTTTAATGGCTTAATATGTTAAATCTATGTGAATGTATTGATGATGCGTTAACTGTCTAAGGCTTTTTGCCAATTTTTATTTTAATATAAAAAATAAGAGTTACTTTTTCGAGTTTTTTTAGTGACATTTATGAGTTTTGTTAGAGAATAATAGTAGATATTTGTTAATTTGAAAGAGGTAGCAATCTGCCGTTCAGGCTTCAATTGCGAAGGCGAAGTGGTGCGTGTAAGGCTATCTTGACTCGACCGACTTGTCATCGTTCGCCGGTGCCTACGTAGATGTTTTTGTCGTAAATGTAAACACAACAAAATCCACAGACGGATATCCCCTTCATCGTCCCTTCCTTTTGTTTTTCCGAGTTTCGAAAAGTTTCGCGTTGACTGCGATGAAGAAAAACTCGACCTCGTTCTCGGGGTGGAAAAATCTTATTGTGTTCACTGTCCTACTCCTCTCCTGGCTCTGCGGCTTCGCCTCAAGACTCTTCGCCGTCATACGGTTCGAGAGCATCATCCATGAGTTCGACCCTTGGTGAGTACGTGGCCGGCGAGTCATTTCTCCCTTCCGCACGGATTTACCGGCCCATGATTCTTTCCAATCATTAAAAAAAAAACCCACAAAAGTTTAGTGCACTCGTGGCCCGATCTTCATTTGCTGATCTTCTTTTTCTTTAAAAAAATCAATCTCGATATCTATACTCATTAAAATACTTTCTCTTAAGCCTTTCAGAGTGAATTGTCCATAAGTCCATCCACAACGAAAAACCATGCTCATTGCACAAAATCACAATGTAAGCCACATTTCAAATCCTTTGCTGTTTGAAACAAAAAACAATCGGATTATTCACAGGAATGATTTATAAAATGTAATAACTATGAAATTATCATATTTGAAAGTTCCAGGTTGAGTGTAATTAGCAGATAAAACTTTTTTTTATCAATGTTTTACCGTTCAAGTTTGAAAGCATGGCAGAGGTCACTCGGCTTATCAGAGGTGATAAGTTTCGAACAAAATACCTTGCAACAACAGTTTTTACGAATAATCTGGATCTCGGTGAGGTCTAGGTGAAAAAAACAAATTCAATTATCTGCCAAGCTTTCGACATATTTTAACATCATCGGGGCAAAACAATCTTTAAGATTCCTACAAATTGACATAATTAAGTTTTTATTAGATGGTTTCAAATTTCTTTGAAGACTGACTCAGTCCTAACACTTCCACGGTGATCTTCATTTGCAGATCTTTTTCTATTAAAAATCAATCTTGATATCTATACTCATTAAAATGCTTTCTCTTGAGGCTTTCAGTGTAAATTGTCCATCAGTCCATCCATTACATTGAAAAACTATGCTCATTGTAACAAAATCACAATGTAATAAGCAATATTTCAAACCCATTGCTCAGTTGAGACAAAAAACAATTGGTTTATTCACAGCAATGATTTATAAAATGTAAATACTATGAAATTATCATCTTTGAAAGTTCCAGGTTGAGTGTAATTAGCAGATAAAACTTTTTTTATCAGTGTTTTAAACTGTTCAAGTTTGAAGGCAGAGGTCACCCGGCTTATCAGAGGTGATAAGTTTCGAATAAAATGCCTTGCAACAACAATTTTCACGAATAATCTTGATCTCTGGATAGTCTAGATAAGAAAAATTCCATTATCTGCTAAGCTTTAGACATATTTTGTTGATTAAGATATTTTGACATCTTTAAGATACCTACAAATCGACGTTTAAGTTTTTAGTGAATGGTTTCAAATTTCTTTGAAGACCGACTCAGTTCTAACACTGCCAAGGACTGACACTTATTAAACATTTTTTCAGACCATGCTGAGAGTGACGTTTAAGTTAAGATGAAAACTGCAGGCTTTATACTAAGTTGATTTTGGTCAGAAATGATCAAGTTTAAACGTGGCAGAGGTCAGACACGGTTTATCAGAGTTGGTCAGTTTTGACCGAAAAGTCACATTTTATGAATGAATTAGAAAATTCATAGACGACTGCACATGATGAAAACTGCAGAATTATGTGGTGGTTGTAATAAGTTGATTGATTCACTATTTTCTTCAAAACTGTTTTAAGTTTAAGCACATGGCAGAGTTCTGACTATCCCTACTAGAAATAATTGTTTAAACAAAATGCCAATTATGCGAGCAGGTTTAAATATTTTCAGGCCATACTGAACCTGAAATTTATATTTAGCTGAAAATTGGAGAATTGTATGCCTGTACTATTTTAGTAAATTCTAAAGCAGTAAATTCTAAAATAAATCAGTTGCGGCTTATCAGAGGTGATTAATTTCTAATAAATTATGATTATAATAATAAATTATTATTGTCTGAACTTTCCTGTCAATTGATAAAGTTCGAAAACAAAAAATAAAATACACCTTTTATAGTACGTTTGTCTATTTGGTTCAAAATTATTCGATGTTTAAAAATGTGACAGAGGCTGCTTATGAAAATTTATTAGATCGGAGGGGGGGAATGTGCAGCAGTCAGACTTGCCTTATCGTCACAATTTGTCTTGGACTGTCACATTGTATGAAGGTTGAAGGTTTGAAAATGTATTAGATTAAAAAAATTAATGTATGCCTGTAATTTGTAAAATTTATGCACAGTCTTGTTCAATTCGGGGATTTTTTTGCTATCAGAATTTTTCAATATTGATAAAATCTGAAAACTGTAGATATTGTGTTGCTTTAATCATTAATCCAATTAATTATTTTTTTTTATCTTTTGGTTTTTGGTTGAGATGAAAAATTAGCATCACGCGTGGGATTCAAACTCATGACCTTCGGCTCATCAATACACTGCTACTCTAACCACTTGAGCTGTCGTGACTAATTAATATGGTCAGTTATGACCACTAAGCAAATATGGATTAATTTAACCATTAAATTGATCAGTTTGATTGATTTGAGACTATTTTAAGCCATTCTAAAAGTGAAATTTATATTTAGAAGAAAATTGCAGATGTTATGAGGTTGTAGTAAGTTAATTGATTATTTTGTTCAAAAGTGACGCAAGGTTAAAAATATGGCAGAGGTCAAACTGCGTATCGGTGATCAGCTTGAAAAAATATATGGCACATTTTCCAGAAATTCATGAAATAAATTAAGCATATTTTAAGTTTAGCTAAAAGTGAAATTTATAATTAGAAGGAAAAAAAAGTGCAGTTTTAGATGCTGCAGTCAGTAATTTTATCGCTGTTTTGTTCAGAATAGATGCATGATAAAAGTTAAACGTGTGGCCGAGGTCAGACTACTTATCAGAGGGGATCATTTTAAAATAAAATGACACATTTTCCAGAAAATCGTTAAAATATTTAAACAAATTGTAAGCTTAGCTAAAAGTGAAATTTATAATTTGAAGAAAACCGCAGTTGTTTTAGGTTACATTAAATAATTTTATCTGCATTTTGTTCAAAACTGACACAACATTAAAAGCGTGGCAGAGGTCAGACTGCTTATCAGAGGTGATAATTTTAAAATAAAGTGATACGCTTTCCAGAAACTCATGAGTTGATTTGAGAATATTTTAAGCCTTGCTAAAACTCAATAACTTGAGCACTTTTTTGTTCAAAACTGATCCAAGTTTAAAAACGTGGCAATGGTGTGACTGCTGATCGCATAAAGGGTTTGAGAATATTTTAGGCCACATTAAAAGTGGCATTTATGCTCAGAAGAAAACTGCAGCCATAATTGCTGTAATTAGTAGATTTAATATCTTGCTCAATATAACTGTGGAAATTGTGTGATTAATCTGTTAATTTATTAGTATTTTGTTCGAAACTGATTAAATTTTAAAAAGTGATAGATATCAGACTATGCTTATCAGAGATGATAAGTTTTTTGTAAGTCATGCAATTATTAAAATTCCTCGTTTATTGAAAAGCTAAAATAGAAATTGTGTGGGTCATAATTTGTCATGTTATCACTATTTCCTATAATATGGTCTACGATTCAACATTTTATGGTTTTGAAAATTTATTGGCGATATTAAAACGGAGAATTTGAAAAACAGCGTTTAAGGTAGAATTTAATACATTAAAGTTTAATGAGTGGTTTTATATTCACTGATTGACTGATTAAGTTAGTTTGAGTCAATTTGATCAAAATGATACATTCTATAAGCCAATTAAACAATTTATGGGTCACACTAATTTGGATTCTAGCATAAATAGAAAATTAAATTTTACATTGAGCATTATAGTAATTATGAAATTATTTAGTGATGTTTAAGCTTTCATTTCTAGCAGTTGTACTATGACAATATGCAAGTTTGATCAAAACTGAGAAACTGAACTTCAAAAGTTTCAAAATTCTGAAAGTTCAAAGAGACTTATGAAGATGTGATTACATTTAATAGAAAGTATGATAGTTGCACAAAATGAAATTAGGTTGTAGTGAATTTTATAAATTATGAACAAACTTGTCAAGTCAGATTATTTATGGGGAATTTGAGCTGACCTCTTCAAAAAATAGGCATTAGAGTGGGTCTGCTGTATTTAATTAATAATTTTATCAAAATTATTTCTCTTCAGAAACACAACATTGGTTGGAAAATTATTTTTCTTTTAGCAAAGTTAATTTGTATAATTTTTCCCTGTTGTTTGGAGGTTGATGAACCTGAAATTTGTCAAAACATGGATCAACCGAATGAGAAAAGGTGGACCAAAATGATTGGTAATGACCAAATTTCAAAATTAGATCACTGGCCATGAAAGCTTATCAAAGTTGAGCAGTTTATAGTGGAGGATGATTGTCATCAAAAATGAAATTAAGTTAATGTCTAGCAATGAATTCTGGATAAAAATTAAAATGAATTTTGTCTAAGTTTAAGACGGTAATTTGAAAAAACTTCAGCAGTTATACAATAAAAATTATCAGGGATTATCAGTTTTGATAAAAATTGGTCACTGTTTTCAAATTAAGTTTGAACGGTCGAGTTAGTAGATAGCTAATTATTGTCACTTGTGCTTTTGTTAGTTTAAGAGATAAAAAAGTTGAATTTCTACCAATCTACATTTCAAATAAACAGATTGTGATTTGAAAATAAGCACTTGTCTTGGAGAAAATCTGACCTCTGTTGGGCAGGAAGAAGAGTCTTATTAGAGATGATGAGATTAAATTGATTGGTCCAGTAGTGAATAATATGAAAGGCCTGAGCTTAATAAACATATCGTTTTAAGCCAAAAGAAAAATATAGACAAATTTGATCCCTCTTTGTGTGTCTCATTGACCATGTGGCACTGAGAAACATGATTGCAGGCTATTCAACTTAACTTTATCATTTTACATGAACACAGCAATATTTAACCGATACTAGCAAGAAAGTATATATCTAAAGATAAGAAAATCAATTTTGGAAGTTTGTACATTTTTCAGAAATACTTCACTAAATGTTGGAAATATAATAACTATCAGAATTTGGTATTCCTAGCCAATATGAACTTTACATCGGTTGAAGAGCTTTTGTTTGTAAAATATTGAAGGGACTCTTTTTGATATTGGGTTATATTCAAGAAATATAAAATTGTGAGATATTTTACTGAGGTATGTGATGTGATGAATGTGTAGTTTGGTTTCTTGCTTCTGCATTTCAGACGCATTTTGGCAGCAAAAATACACAGACTCTGTGCTTCTCATGCCAGGGGATATCTCCCTAAGAGGTTTATAATGAAATAAATGTTCCAGTTTGAAGAATGGTGCCCATGGCTTAAAATGTTTTATTTCCCAGCATACTGTCTTCATGCAGGGAAGGAACATTGTTGGGCCGAGTTGTTGGGTTGAAGGTGGTGGCACTCTTCTATTAACAAATTCAGTGGGAAGACACCACATCTGTGCTAAGGTGACGTGTGTTAGGGGTCCAACTCTCGAAGTCAGATTCTGAATATGACTCTGAAACTGTCGTAGTCTCCTACTCTCACTACTCAATTTAGACTCTAGACTTTAGAGACTATCCCAATCTCTGCCTAGACCCATCTTACATTCTGGCTCAGCCAAGAGCAGCTTTGGGGTAGAACCTGTGTTAACTCTTGAGTCCGTGCTCTTGGTCACACTGTGTATGTGACCTTGGGTGGGGACACCTAGGATGTAATGGCAGTTTATTTGGCTGTGGATGAGAGCTTAGACCCAGGGCCAATATAGGCCTCGGGTGCATACAATAGTTATTTAAAATGTTTCCCAAATTTGCTTCAAACATTATTTCGAATGTAAACTTCCAGTTTATAATTAATTTTAATGCATAAATGTTAATGTTTTAAACTTAGGTTCAACTACAGAGCTACGGCTTATATGGTTGAGCATGGCTTTTACAACTTCCTCAACTGGTTTGACGAACGGGCGTGGTACCCGCTTGGCAGGATTGTCGGGGGCACTGTCTACCCAGGGCTTATGATAACCTCTGGGAGCATACATTACATACTCCACCTGCTAAACATACCAGTCCATATAAGGGACATATGCGTCTTTTTAGCCCCCGTTTTCAGGTAAGAGTAATCTTATTGAATATAATAATTCATAAATAAATTATTCGATTTTGCAGCGGTCTTACGGCGATTTCGACGTATCTCTTGACGAAAGAGTTGTGGAGCGTTGGGGCTGGCCTGTTAGCAGCATACTTCATTGCGATTGTACCAGGTTATATAAGCAGGTCTGTAGCTGGCAGCTATGACAATGAAGGCATTGCCATTTTCGCCCTGCAATTCACCTACTACCTTTGGGCAAGTTTTTATTTTATTGTTATATATGCCAGTTTAAATAGTCAAACTCAATAAATTTTTAATTTAATTCAATATTTAGGTGAAATCAGTAAAGACTGGATCAGTGTACTGGGCTGCTTTGACAGCACTTTCTTATTTTTATATGGTGAGTGTGTTAAGAAACCTTTAATTTAATTTTTTTAAAGAAATAAATATACAAGTTGATTACTAATTTAATATAATAATAAATTTAATAATGATAAATGAAACCCCATCAGTTTAGAACTAATAAGTAATGTTAGTTTTACTTTAATCTCAGTTAGTTTTTATATCCAATGTTGTCTCAATATCTTCTGATTTGAATAATAACTCATAATTACATAGCCAAGTGTAGTGATATTATAATAATATTTTGCTAAGGCATCATTTAAGAATTTTGAGTTGTTTAATTTTTGTTTAAACAAATTTTTAATAAGAAATGAAGAAAATTAGAAACCATCTTAAAAGCAGGTTTTTGTTAAAAATTGAACATCTAATTTGCAGTTTAAGCTGAACATATATAGATAAAAGGGAACAGATATGACAGGAAGGACGAAAAAAGATTTTTGTTGTTGGTATTTTGAAACCTTTGATTAGCTATATAATAATAAAATTTTTTTAAAGTGATATTTCATATTTGTTCATAAAATGCAGGCTTATTAATTGAATTGAAATGTTAATTTTGTTTTGTATTTTAGGTTTCAGCATGGGGTGGTTACGTTTTTATTATAAATTTGATACCGCTTCATGTATTTGTACTGCTTTTAATGGGGCGCTACTCAAGCCGCCTTTTTACAAGCTACACGACGTTCTGCATACTTGGGCTTTTATTCAGTATGCAGATCCCTTTTGTTGGGTTCCAGCCGATTAGGACTAGCGAACACATGGCTGCGCTTGGTAACTATAAAACAAAACTAAGAAACTTATAATCTCAAATTGATAAAATTTCCTTGTAGGTGTTTTTGTACTGATAATTGCGATTGCTGCGTTGAAACACATCCAGACTGTGCTTTCGAGGTCTGAGTTTAAATATTTTTTCTTAGTCGCGAGTGGCATATCAGGGGCGGTTGTTTTCTTCAGTGTCGTAATTTTGACTTACGCTGGAGTTATTGCTCCTTGGAGCGGAAGGTATTTGTATTTTACACCGGGCAATTGGATACTTTGCTTTTTCAGTCTTAAATAATTTGTTTATTTGTAGATTTTATTCACTCTGGGATACAGGGTATGCTAAAATTCATATTCCGATCATCGCTTCGGTTTCTGAGCATCAGCCTACTACTTGGTTCTCATTTTTCTTTGACCTACATATTCTAGTCACAACATTCCCAGTCGGTTTATGGTATTGCATTAAAGATCTAAACGATGAGAGAGTTTTTGGTCAGTATCCATTATAAATTGTAATAAATAAAAAAAATACTAAAAGTAATTTTTTTAAAATAGTTATATTGTACGCAATAAGCGCTGTTTATTTTGCTGGTGTTATGGTCCGTCTCATGCTCACGCTGACACCTGTCGTGTGCATTCTGAGCGCCATAGCTTTTTCAAAACTGCTCGACATTTTTCTGAAAGATGAGGACAATCCGTCTGGAGGGGAAAGCGACAGTGAACATGAAACGTCACCTTCTAAAACGCTTTATGATAAGGTATTTCAAAATATTTCAGTTACAAATTAAATCTTTGTGTTATTTAAATTCTTGTGTTTTCGTTGACAGGCTGGTAAATTACGGAAGATGAAGCATGAACAGATCAAAGAATCAGAAGGCCTTGGCCCAAATGTTAGAAGTTTTGTCATCGTTGGTACAATCGCATTGTTACTCATGTTTGCAGTTCACTGCACGTGGGTCACAAGCAATGCATACTCAAGTCCAAGCATTGTTCTTTCATCATATTCTCAGGATGGGTAAATTTATCCCTTCAAATATTTTACAATTATACACTGATGTGTTTCTAAAAAAACAAAAAGTCAAAAGTTAATATTTTCAAACAGACAGATTATTTGAAATCTCAAGACTTGATTTTTTTAAAAAAAAGCTCTTCCTTACAGTTGAATTAAAACATGTTGAGATTTAAATAATAATAAAATTCTAATCGTAGAGATACTTATGTTGTTTTGTGTTTAGATCAAGGCAGATTTTGGACGATTTCCGAGAAGCTTACTACTGGCTTTCACAGAATACGGACAGCGATGCTCGAGTGATGAGTTGGTGGGATTATGGCTATCAGATAGCCGGAATGGCTAATAGGACGACTCTGGTCGACAACAATACTTGGAACAACTCCCACATTGCATTGGTGAGTAATTTGCACATATTGAATCGGTCTGAACTGCTAGTTTTCGTTGTATGCAGGTTGGCAAAGCCATGTCATCGACTGAACCGTTGGCGTATGAAATTATGAAATCTTTGGATGTTGATTACGTCCTTGTGATTTTTGGAGGGGTAATCGGCTATTCCGGAGATGACATCAACAAATTTCTTTGGATGGTGAGAATCGCCGAGGGCGAACATCCAAAAGACATTCGTGTAAGTAAGCCATCAAGATTTCTTAAAAGAAATTTAAGGTTTTTATCTTAAATAATTTATTTAATTACAGGAAAATGACTACTTTACTAGTAAAGGAGAATTCAGAGTGGATGCTGAAGGCTCTCCTGTGCTTTTGAATTGCCTTATGTACAAATTAAGTTACTACAGATTTGGCGAACTTCAAGTAATTCATTAAATTCATTTGGATTATTTATGTTATGAATTAATTTTATGTAATTTAATTTTTTTTATTTTATTTTAGCTGGATTTCCGAGGTCCTCCAGGGTTTGATAGAACTAGAAATGTTGTTATAGGAAATAAAAATTTTGACCTCACATACTTAGAAGAAGCTTATACTACAGAGCACTGGCTGGTTAGGATATACAGGTGAATTGTTTATTAAATAAAATAATTTAAAAAAAATTATGTGACATCTTTTTTTTTTTATTTTGCACATTTTTAGAGTGAAGAAAGAAAATGAATTTAACCGTCCTAGACTTCAGACTTCATCAAGAAAAATTAAAAGAACAGATATGTTTATATCAAAAAAGGTATGATTTAACATAAAGTGGAATAATCAAAAACAATCATACTAAAAAACTGTTGTATTTTTTTTTTTTCAGACAACAAAGAGAAAGAAAGGATTGATCAAAAGCAGGCCGGTCGTAGTGAAAGGAAAGAAAGTCGTTAAATCTTAGTGGAGTTTTTTTTAGTATAATTGTGCCCTGGTTTTGTGAGACAGAATTCACAAAAAAAAAAAAAAGTTAAAACTACATAAAACTTTAAAAATGAATAAACACAAACAACAATCCGCACTCGAACAGAGTGCAGAATAAGTTGCCTCAATGAAATTTTGATAACATTGTAAAAAAATTATGTTTGTCATCTAAAAATTATTAGCATTTTTTACTGTAAAAATAACCGATTTTGTTAATTAGCACAATAAAGATTTACAACATTTAGCAATTGGACATGTGATTTTGTTAAAATGTTTTACAGTGTGATCTCACTGATTTTTATTATTATTAAATTTTTTTGTTTAATGTAAGAATTTCTTTATAAAGTTGATTTTGATTTATCACAAATTGTCCATAAAAACAAACTCCTTTCTTCCTTAAATTGAAGTTTTCAGTTTATTATTTATTCTTATTGCAAATAGTTTTTTTTTGTGAATGCACAGCTTGTGTGAGTGGATTTACAGAATGTGATGTGAATGGTGAAGGAACAGTTTATACAAACATTGTAAATTTAATTGAAATAATAAAATAATATATTTACTATGTAAGTATTAATTATGGTTCTTTTAATAATTGAGAGTTTAAAGGATTATCAACAAATCCCCCAACCCAATATATAATATTTAATGTGCGAGTGGTTATCTCTTCATGCCATTGGTCGCACATGAGATTTTCTCCTCTCACACCTTTTTTTAGATCGCTAATGTTAAAATATTGTGTTAGGGTTTTTTTTTTATGATGTATTATTATAGAAAAAATTAAGGGGGACTGCAGAGACAGAGTAGTTAGGGCGTCTGACTCGTATTTGCCAAGAACCCAGGTTCTAATCCTGGCAAAACTTTTTTAATTGATACTGGTATGAAAAATGGGGAAAAAACTGGTTCGACCCTTCGACTGTGACCCTCAAGAGGTAGTTGGAAGTTAAGCACTCCTGTTTGTCTGGAATGACCTTACATTGATAAGCTCTCCTTTCAATTTTTTTTAACTTGTGTTTCTGAAATAAATTTCTGTTTATTGTTGCAACTAATATTCAACAATGATAAAAAAATCATCAATGATCTCTGACTAACTGAATAAATTGATTGTATTTCATCTACACAATCCACTTTGCCCTTAGTCATATTGTAAAATGTAATGAAATCCTGTTTTGTTTGTCTACCAGTTTCTTCATAAAGTTTTTCATTATCAAGAAAGGTGGAATAGATAACATTTTTCTTTTTTGTTCCTTTTGGCCTGGCAAATGATAGGAGCAATTTATATTTCTCCTCTGAGCACCAATAATTTTTGTTCTTTGTTGTAGCAATTAATTTAATGAATAATACATTTTTAAAAGGGTGGCACTCTCTCTTAGTAAAATGGTTGATCCTGTGATGAAAGAATATCTCATAGAAACAGAATAATGTTGTTTAGACAATGTTTTATTTTGTTGTTTTTAAATAAATATCTTAAGATTTTCTATCTAGCAACCTGTGATTTCAAAAACAGTGAGTGCCTGTTTTCTGTAAGTTTGAAACACCGTAAATTTAAACAGTTATAGAATAAAAATTATTTCAAGTTAGGTCAAAACTTTATGCTTAAGCTGGTAGTGAAAAAGGCATATCTGAGTTAAAAAATTTTGGTCAAAAGTAGATAAATATTTTTATCATGAGATCCAACATCAACTGAACATTGGCCTTAAGACGAGGATAATCAAAGACAATCAGCTTTGCCTAAAATATTGGTATATTGTCAAAAATGAAAATTACACAAAGAAATAACAACACAACTCATACAATTTATAAAAATTAGGATATGACTTGATAAAATAACATACAGACAAATGCAGAAATGCACAAGACACCAAACTCATGAGAAAAGTATTTGCAGATCTTAAAATAATATATCATATTTTTTATTCAATATTTTCAAATGCTGTTTTTTATTTTGTCATTTTTTATGTAATTTATCTTAAGATTTTGTATCATAGCAACCTGTGTTTTCAGAAATAATAGGCACTTTTTTCTGTACTTTTGAAGTGTTGTAAATTTGACATTGCATTTTAAATATTATGATGCACAATACAAAGTTTTTGATGAATGTAAGTAATCTAACATAATAATTTAATTTAAACAGGCAATGGCCTGGGTTCATCTACACTCGTGGATGTTTCAGCCATGTGCCATCTTTGGTAAAGGTTTCTTTGAGTACTCTTTAACATATAATGGTAAAATTTGCCTTTTTTAGATGCTAAATGATATTATTAACAAATTTAGCATAATTTGATTATTTTTTCTCATCAAAAAGTTAAAAATTTTGTTTATTATATGGGTACTAGGTTTTACCCGCAACTTTGTCCAAGCAGGGCTCTATTTTAATGTACCTTTCTTCCTGCGATGCAGAGTGCTAGAATGGTTTTTGAATCTGTCTTGTTTCTCAAATTCTCTTCTTCAGGTCACTTCGGTCTATGCGTTGTAAAAAATTGTCCATATGATGGAATTTCAAAAAATCCTTTCTTAGCGGCTATCCATGTCATTGTATGAATGCACTGTCAAAATTGAAGCCGTTTAAATCCAACGGTTTGGTCTGTGTGTTGTCTGTCAGACAGTCACAGAAATTTACAAAAGGTTGGATAAGTATTGCCATTTACACCAATGATTTTATTTTTTACAATAATCACATCTTGGTGGTTTTTGCTGCATGAAAAAGTATTTAATATTTCCATGATCAAAGGCTGTCCATATTAAAAAGATAACAAGAAAATGGAAGTAAATAAAAAAAAAAAAAAATTGTAAAATAAATTATTTTAGTCATTTCTTTATTTTCATTTTGCTTGAAAAACATCTCATTGTGACATGATGCAAATAGGGTGAAACAAATGTAAGATGAATGGTGAAAGTATAAATTAACTATTAAAATAATATATTTACTATGATTCTGAAATATCAATACAGATTTTTACTCGAAGTTTTTTTTTAAATGTTTATTTTTTTTGGTAGTAATATTGAGACCTTTTCCTGATTCCAGTGAGTGGCAATGGGCGCAGTGGCATTCTTTCTCCCTGCAAATAAAAATTGTCATCAACATAATTGTTTAAGAAGAGCTAGAAAAATTAAAATTTTCTACCTGGTGCTTTCTGTTCATGAGCTCCATCCTCGCTTCTTGGATTGCTTCCCACAACTTCGCTTCAGACATTATCTGCCGACTCAGGTCTTCGACCGCTGGTTCAGAATTCAAGTCAATCAACGTACCCATTGACTCATCTGACCTTTTCTTCCCACATCCTGGAAAGGGATACAATTTTATTTTATAAATCAATAACAGGAATTCTTTAATAACTCTTCATTTAATATAATTGATGATTGTAAAAATAATTCACCTGTGAAAGCGTTGCAGAAAGGTTTTTTGATTTTTGGATCAATTGGCTCAGATACTTCATCAGGGAAGTAAAACTACAACAGATAACAGATTATTTTACAAATCAAACTAATCGACTTTAAAGATAAATTGTTGTAAGTTTTAAATTCAACCTTTTTTTGCAGTATAACATCATCAGCTTTGGCTGTTGAAAGAAGCACTGGTAGCAACAAGCAAGAAAGTATCAGCTGCATATTTACACCTGAAACAGATCAAATTTGACATATCGATTATTTTTTCTTTGAGACCAGTATTTTAATTAATTGAAAAACTGAATGGGCAACTACCTAGATACTTTTGTGAAAATTTCTCAGCTTGTTTGATTTGTCGTTGTGAGGTTTAGAAAAATAAAACTCAAAATTATAGGGGATTTTGAGTTAAAAAGTCTTAAGTATTTGGTGCTGATAAAATGGTGAAGTGTGTGGGACAGGCCATCCAACAAGGATAGGCAGGCCAAAATGATATCGGTAATGATCAAATTACAGGCCATACCATGAAGATCACCCCAGTTTTAAATATGTACATATGGGTGTAAATATACACTTTTATGATAATAAATAACTTGGACAGTATTAAAATATTTTGCTTAATCTGATATTGCCCCAATATGCAGATTTTTGATTGTTTAGAAAAGGTATTTGGTTGTGGTTTTAGAAATATACCAAACGAAATATATATACATAATATATTTTTTGTATTTTGTAGGGAGAAGGTCAACATTTAATAAATTTACAATTATGTAAATTGTGTGGTGGTTAGTGACCGTTAATCGATAATAATTCAGAGATCGTGAGGTGCAGTCTGGTGTGATGTAGGTATCAGAAAAACATTTTCTTTATCGTGCCAACATTTCGATCTTTATTGAGCCCTGAAGATGATCTCAATAAAGATCGAAACGTTGGCACGATAGAGAAAATGTTTTTCTGATACCTACATCACACCACACCGCATCTCACGATCTCTGAATAATTATGTAAATTGTTTATTTATCTTAAAGTGCCAAGTTGGGTATGTACATTTAAAATTGTGTTGTTTTTAGACCCACAAGAACTCTTTGGCTTAGAAGTATAAAAGAGCTTTGTCCCCTGAATCACAGCGCATTCCATGCCAAGGCGTGTGGATTGATTATTTAACAATCCCCTTTCCCACGTGGTATAATCCTATCTTCCATGACTAATTCATTCCATGAAGGGCTCGGTTGCATCGGTGGGATGTTATTTACACAAAGTATACAGGTTCTGAATAAACAATGCGGCTTGCGGGTTTCAAAGGACAAATATTGTTGTGTAAATCCTCTCTAGTGCGCTTAACGAGGTCTTTAGACGTACTTGGGGGAATTAAAAACAATCCGACTCTGAGGACTCAGGCTGGACAAATACCTTGAAAGTAGAGATCATTTAAATAAAAAGGAAAAGGCCGAGGATTATTAGTTACTAGTAACAATAAGTTCCAAACGCGACCTGCTAAATGAAGCTAAGTCACTCTTCTTCTGAAAAGGAAAATCCAGAAAATTTCACCGACTTTACTGTTAATAAATTCAGACAATTTTGGCACAACATGACGTAATGGAATTGCCTAAAAGCTGATAGAATTGTTTATTTTGGAAAACCCGTAGATTTTTCTTATAATCAAAATTACTTCTTTTCAGCGTTTCTCGATGATTGGGCTTAAAATTTCGTATTACTTTAGAAAATTACAAGTCAGAATTGTGTGTATTATGTGTCCAAAATACGAATATTACGGGTTTTAAACAAAATCGGTTTCAGCAATTTCAACTTGTAATCTCTTAGGTCCGAAGCCATTCACTACTTCCTACAGATCAAGAAATCAAAATGACATGAAGTTCGAAGTTGTTGGGCTGCGAGTCATTTATCACTGAAGGAAGTTCCTCATTGAAGATGGCACATAGCCGAAACGCTTTTGAATGACATCAAAACCCGCGAGTGTATGAAGACCCATTAAATGAAGTGCCGGTACAAAAGGCCAGGCTGACTTTCCAACTTAAATCTTATCCTAGAGCATCCGTGAGCTATGTCAATGGTAATAGAAGAGACATATTGAAAATATTTAGTATATCAAGTTTTGTAAATATAATTGTCGAAAGGTTAGCATGATAAAGATACGTGTTTAGTAGCTCAATTACTCTGCTACTGCTCTAAGTATTATTCTTATGTAATTAATGATCAAACTAATATATATTAATAGACAAAAACTTTATGTTTATTATGTTATTTTTTTGTCTCTTATCCATTAAAACAAAAGAAAGAGAAAGAGAGAATGAGACAGAGAGACAGAGAGAGAGAGAGAGAGAGAGAGAGAGAGAGAGAGAGAGAGAGAGAGAGAGAGAGAGACAGACAGACAGAGAGTAGCGAGGGGCTTACCCTCCAATTACCGCGAGGAATATCGAGCACTCTTGGAAAGTATCAGTGAAGTGTGAATTTAATTTATTAGCGTGAATGGCAGGGCTTATCCCCAATTATCCCGAGGAATATAAGTCCTCTGGAGTTGTGTGAATGCTAAACAGTTTATCATTTTTTTCTCTNAGAAAGAGTCAGAGAGAGAGAGAGAAATAGAGAGAGTCAGAGAGAGAAATAGAGAGAGTCAGAGAGAGAGAGAGAGAGTGAGAGAGAGAGAGAGAGAGAAATAGAGAGAGTCAGAGAGAGAAATAGAGAGAGTCAGAGAGAGAGAGAGAGAGAGTGAGAGAGAGAGAGAGAGAGAAATAGAGAGAGTCAGAGAGAGGAGTAAAAAAAAGTAAAATCGATTTGTTTTAGGCTATGAAATAAGTGTTCCCTTATATGTATGTTAAATCATACAATAATGATTTAAAACAAAGTACATAAGTAGCTTAATTTGCTACAAAGTATTTTGAATATCAATCCAAATTATTGAAGTACAGATGTATTTATTTGTTAAATTGTCAATTTTTTGTACAACAGGATATAGTTGAAGAATGACGTAGGAGAAAAGAAGATTTATTTTCAAATAATGTAAATATTGTTTTTCACGTTTTCATAGTCTGAAGCTAGCGTTTAAAATCCGATACGACGGGCATAATAAAACAATGGCTTTTTCCATTGTTGCATAATAAAATTCTGGTTAATAGGAGGATTTTATTAAGTATACGAATTTCCCTCTAAACGCCCCCCCCCACAACCGTTTGACGAAGGAGTTAATAGACTGTACTTAAATTGCTCTCACAAAGTTTTGAAATCCGTTGAAGTTTGTCCACCGGGGGTAGAGCGAATTGCCAGGGATGAAGGTACGATATTGGAATTTAAGCGACGACGTTCATCAACCCTTGGACACCCCCGCTTGAAAACAAACCGTGTTCTTTAATTTTTTTCGTCCAAAAACTCATCCCCGAACACCATAAACAAGGCTTGGTAGGGGTTAAAATAAAGTAGGTGAAATATCGTTAAACTTGCGCAATTACAAACCCTAAAAAAAACTCCTTGGTGAACTGAGAGAAAATATGACGGAAAAACTCTAATAACATAAATATAACGCAGCTTAAAGACAATAAAATTATGGAAAAAACCAATGAAAATACTGACATCACCCATATTCGAAGGAATTAATATAACTGCAAAATTTATCTAATAAAAATACAAATAGTGTTGTCTTATAGTTAGAGTGAGCATTATATAATCCATTGAAGTTTCATTCTTCATCACAACACCAAAATATAATTTTATTCTTGTTTTACTAAAGTAAGTATTCTTGTTTAGGTTTAATGTTATTCGCTTTATTTACTTGTAAGTGATTTTTTGTTTTGTTTTTATTTTCTCATAGTACAGCTCAGTTATGGGCAGTTTTACTTATAAACGCAGAAGGGGTTAAACGATTTCCTATGTACTTACCAAGTTTATCGACCAGTGGAAAAGAGCTACCCGGTTTCTTTCCTTGTTTTTTTCTTTTATAAGCTCACTATTAATTTACAACTTTTTGAATACTGCAGGTTAACTAGTACTTAAAGGTTTTTTTAAGGGGCTTTTTTTCCAGCCGGGGATGTCGAAGATGAAAGCATTTCTCAGTATTTACACAATTAGCGTCCGGCAAAGCTACTCATTTTCCTAATGGCGAATTAATGATATCGTTTCCTTTTTGGCTTTCATTTTCTCACAACTGAGCCTTCATAACCGGTTAATTTTGTTATACCTACTTCACTCGAGGAGTTCATTTTATTTATTTTTTTAATTTTTTAATTTTTGACCCCGAGTAATAATGTTCGGGAGATGTAGAGAACTAAAGCCCCTTGTGCCTCTAAATCTGACTGGGATAAACCGTACTTTTCTTAGAATTCTGAGAAATGCGCTTGTCGACTGGAGAAAAAAATGTATCGCCAAACGGACAAAGAATTTAAAACGGATCATAGATCAATATCATGTATCAAGGCTGTCCATTCGTTTTCTCTTTCTTTCTCTCTTAAATCAAGCACGAAAGAAAGAAAATTGAGGAATTTTAGGTTTTAAACGTCGTCATTAACTTGCATAACTGACAAATAGACTTAAGGGTCGGTTTAAAAAAAAAGCTCTCATTGCTAATTTCTATTATATTTACAACCTATCTATTGCCACAATGGACACCCAAATAACGTGTTTCCTGGCACGAGCTTTTCACATATTTCCGTGTGTTTTTGACTGAATAAAGATTTTTATGGAAAGGTATAAGGTGCATAATTGGCTTAAATAATTTGGGCAGAGAGAGATGGGCTGATTAGGAATAAGAGTTTATTTTTTAATGGATTACCTCGAGTCTCTAAGGCCCAATCAGGTATAGGATGAAAGGGCGAATTAAAAAGAAAAATGTACATGTACCATACATTTAATTTTTCTATGAGGTAAATGTATTTTTCTATGGCTATTCTGCGTTTTTCTTCTAGTTTCTTTTATTTTATTTTCATTTTTTTTGGTAAATATTATAATTGTACTATAATGTATTTATTCGGCCGTTTGAGAAGTTATATAAGAGATTTAAGTATATAACATAAATTATTAAATTTTATTATTATTATTTTATGGGGTCTCATGGAGCAAGTTCACACATTAAACCTACTTTTTGGCTTCAAGTTTTCTTTTGTTTTTCTTCTATGCACGAATGATGGACACAAGTGAAAACCGTTTTGCACTTCTGCTTGAAAGGTCAGCAGATAGGAAATAGCAACAGTTCATTTGGCATTAGGGCAATATTTGGAAAAGGCTC